GTTCGCGGCAGCTCCCAGTGCTTTGCACAGTCAAAGTATGCACCACTTGTGCTCGACCCGTGGCATTGCGCTGCCACTTCTCGGCGGAAGGTTGGCGGAAGCACGCAGAAGTAAAACGGGGGCGGCTTTACCGGCGGAAGGCTGGCGGAAGACGGTAGAAGTAAAAATTTGCCCTCCAAGAGGTGACACCTTATTTGGGTTGAAGGCTTCGATAGTCCGTCATATGGTTTCGCCTTGCCCGAGCACGGCGGCACATGTCACTGTGATCTCTCGCGCCCTTGCCCGTCCTGCCCAGGTATGTGCCGAGTGTTCCCCTCTCCCCGGGCGACGAAACCACGAACTGCTTCGTCAACTTCACCAGGCCGCCCGGCCTCGGCGACCATGACCCCTCCAGCGCCGCCTGGTGGCCGTCGCAAGCGACCCACCTGGGGTAGGAGAGGGATGCACCCAGACATCCGATGTCTTGATTCGTCCCAACCATGCCGTGGTGTGTTGCGTCCTCGTTCTGAGGCAGCAGCGCCCCGCGTCTCCTCACGCTGCCCCCCTCCCCTTCCTTGCCTCTGCCGCTCGCATGGGTCATTCTGGCACACCCCTCACGCGACTCGTGGCCCCATGGGGATCTCCACCGAAGGCCCCAAGGGGCAAGACCACATGGCATCCCCCCGCCGATTGTGGCACACCCCTCGAACGCGTCGCGACCCCACAGGGAGCTCCACCGAAGACCCCGCTGGGCAAGACCACATGGCGTCCCCCCGCTCATTTCGACACACCCTTCACACGCTCCGTGGCTCCACGGGGAGCTCCACCGGATGCCTCGGCAAACACGGCCTCACCTTGGGGAGCTACACCGAAGGTCCCATTGGGCATCCGCCCACTTGGGCACACCGCTCACACGTTTTGTGGCCTCATGAAAGGGGCTCCACCGGATCTCCCAGTGGCGTTGTCTGCATGGCACGCTGCCCTGCGGCTCGCAATATATGAAGGGAGGACCACTCTCTGGGAGGGATGCCTGAGTACACTAGGTCGCCCACAAGGGGCGCGAAGATAGTCGCGCTTTGCGCGTCGCGGCCTGGACCAGCGAAATGCCCTTCTCCATGGGGGGCGGTGGCGCCCTCGCGAAGATGGCCGCGCGGGGGTCGCATCGCGGGGCGCGAAAAGCGAAGTTAGGTGACCTGGGTGCAGGCGGAGGGAGGGTCTTAGCTCTCAGCGAGTGTTCAAGCTGCAGGGCGTTCCGGTCGGACGGGAGAGAGTCTACAGGAGGGGCCGGGAGCATAGCGGGGGAATGGACAGACTGGCGTGGCACCGATATGTGGGGGAGGAGTAGGAGGAGGAGGAGGAGGAGGAGGAGGAGGAGGAGGAGGAGGAGGAGGAGGAGGAGGAGGAGGAGGAGGAGGAGGAGGGGTATTTGGGGTTTTCCAGAAACGGCTTCGCCTTGGAGGGATCGAAAGGTTGACGTCTCTTCTGCTGGCGGGAGGTCAGCGGAAGCAAAATAGCGGAGGGTCTCCAGCAGAAGTAAAAGATCCCCCTCACGGGATGACATCGTTTTTGGAGTTCAGGGTCTCCGGAGCAGGTTTAGTCTCTCTTCGGCGCATCGCGCTTTCGGCGGACGCCGGCGGAAGTAAAACGGTGGCGGTTTGGCCAGTGGAAGGCTGGGGGATGTTAACGGAAGCGAAGCATGCCACCCGCACCACCACAACCAGCCATCGGCGTCACCCAAACATACTTAGACTATATGTGGTTCGCCCCCCCAGGGGCGACGCGAGCACCGAGAAATCTAAAGTATATGCGTCGGGAAACTATATACTACAATATGGGTATACCTTATGTTCGGGTCGGACGCGCGCCTCCAAGGAGGACATATAGTATTAGGAGGATACGTAGTATTAGTATGTTTCGGTGCGTCCCAATTCATACTGGGGGGCTTTTCAAAAGCAAGCATCCGAGTTACAGCATGGTCTGGTCTGTCGCGGATTCACGCACATGGGAGGCGGCGGACACCACGGCCGTTGCGATCACGATCGGTGAAGGGGCACGCAGGTGGCCCAACCACGTGCATTGCGCGGCAGACTACGAGGAGGGAACGACAGGTAGACAAACCCTGAAGCAAATATATTCAGGCAACAGACAAATTGACCCAGCCAACAAGCAAATAGACTAAGTCTACAGCTTGACTCAGTCGAGATGCTCCGCGGTTCGTGCTTGCTACGTCATGTCGGACCTGCTCGGCCGTTTTGTCCAGGTGTTCCCTCCCCTGCTCCCCCTCCTCCTCATCCTTCTCTTTCTCCTTTTCCATCTCCTGCTCCCACTGTCGCGTCTGTTGAGCGTGCTTTTTGCACCACGTCTGTGGTGACCTGTATATATATATATGTATATATATGAATAATTACAAACATCACCGTGGGAGGTTTATATGAGTAGGTAGTTCTATAGTATCGCTGCTGCCAGTGAGAGGCCATCGCAATAGACGTTGTACGTGTCGCTCCCGTTTGCGAGCATCCGCTTGTAGTTTTCGCCCGTATCCTCCTCCAGCGTCCTCTCCTTTCCTCTTCCTTCCTCATCGTGCAGGGTTGGCTCACGACCTTAGTGACAGTGCGATTGGATTCGCAATGCGAGCTGACGGGTAAGATGTGAGCGGCTTGGTGAATGGTGCGTCTCGTGGAAAAAAAGCGATCGGTGCAAAGGCAGGACAATTTCGGTGCGATCTCGGGGGGCCTGGGGATGAATAAGCCCAGGAGCCATCACCGAACGCATGAGCCCAGACACCCGATGTTTTATTGTCTTGAAAACGGGGTCTGGCGATGTTTTTCTTCCGAGTCGTTGCCTTGAAGGTCCTCCAGCTTTGGGGGGGACCGCCAGAGACCGAAAACGAGAACGGCGAGAGGACGTTCTGGGAGCTCGCTGAGGAAGGATACTCGTTCCACGGGCAATTGCGGCTGCAGTTCGCTGCCTCCTCCTCCTCCTCCTTCTCCTCTTCCTCCTCCTTCTTCCGTAGCCGTGCTGGCTCAAGTAACCATGTTGCCGTGCGGCTTCCTGGAGACTGCTTGAGTTGAGGACAGATCCCACAACTTTGTTGCCACAATAAGGGGCCCGCAGCAGCCCATCTTACCTTCAGCTTGTCCTCCCGTCCACGTTGGCCTTGCAGGCGGCCGTTCGTATCCGTTCAGCCTCGTCGAGCCGCGCCCCGAGCTTCCATACCCCACGCCCGTCGAGCCGCGTTCCGAGCATCCATATCCCACGTGCTGGCATGCTCCTGCTTCAGCTGGTTCCCCTCAGCTGGTCCTGCACCCATTTTCGAACAGTATGTTTTGGTTCCGCTCAGCTCCTCATCGCTGACGCGCAGTCGAACGGCCCCGTCATCACCACCAACGCGTCTACGCAATGCCGTCTCTAAGAGGGTCCAGTGGTGGCAGCGCAAGCGAGAGATCCACGTCCACGAGTAATTATCCCCTCGTCGTTCGCACCTCGACGACAACGACGACGCCAACAACCTCAACATACAGCCGTCCGCCCAGACCGACGTGACGACCGAGGAACCCGTCAGGAGCTGCTCGCGCCACAATGGACGCCACGGAGAAGGAGGGCTCCAAGCGCGCTCGCTCCACGGGTCGCAGTGGATCATATGCCCGTCATCATGGCGCTATTATGGGTTCAGGGCGTTTCCGACAACCGCCGCCAGGAACGCCGGAGACGTCTCACAGCACGGTCGACCCTCTCAACCAGACTCGCTCGCCCGTCTGCTCGCGCCCGCCTGCTCCAACGCACCGCCCCAACTGCTGCATCTCAGCCGTTGGCCCGCTCTCAGGACTTGGGTGACCCGTGGGGGCCCAGGCACTGGGATGCCGCTCGACCCGCAGTTGGTGCCAACGTGGACGAGGGCGGCCTTGCACCCCATGCCCCCGACGCTGGTCAGCGACACATGCATGGAATATTCGCCGAACTCGAAGTCTCAGTTTATAGCCCCATGCAAGAACAAAGCAGCTCTGCCACATCCACCTTTCAGAACCAATGCAACGATCCCCGAGAAGCCCAGAAACGCTTTCAGCCGGCTACTAGAACAGCAAGTTGTGTAAACCGATCGCCGAGAGGATGCCCTCCATGACTCAGTTGTTCCTGCGCGACGTGAGCAAGACCGACAATCCGATGAACAGCGCCGTAGGTGGTTTCAAATTGTCCACATTCTCATAGTTGACCTCGTCGCGCCTCGCAGAGCGGGACCGCGCGCCTGACCTGGCGCTCATTGCCATCGCGCCGAACTGCGCCATCAACGACCTCCAGAAGTGGATCGCGGCCGCCAGCCGCAGAGATGACATGGTGGAACTACGCGGTGCCACTCCTTCTAGGCGCCATGCCCTGCGTGCCGAGGGCGGCAGGGGCATCGCTGATTCAAGCACTCTTGCCCCCCGCGAGCCCTCAAAGATGCCGCGGGCAAGTGGGGCCGCTTCGAGCCGGCGGACATGACGGGCCAAGGCGCCCCCGACCCAATGAGACCCGACTAGCCCAAAGACCCAGACCAAGAAGCTTCACCAGCTATTTCAACAGCGCCACCAAGACTACCAGTGGCGCGCCCATCGCGCCAAGAGCGGGATCCAGTGCTCGGCCGCTCCCATCGCGCGCTTCGAGAGTCGCGGCCAGATAGGCCCCGCCATCCTCGAGTGGATCTCCAAGGAATTCGGCCAGCCCCAAGTTCCGGCACCTTGACAGAACCGCCCCCCGCACCGAGTCCCAATCGCTCTTCGAGGACATGGGGGCGACAGAGCGGCGTTCCTCACTGCCCGCGGGTGCCCCGGCCCGTGTCAGAAGCCCACCAGGCCGCCGGCTACGCCTCGTGGAACGCCATGGCCCCAGCGTGCCACAACAGGAGTTGCCGCCGCAAGCAATCGCGCCATTCTCGCCAAGTATATGAAGCGCCCCTGCGTCATTCTCCTCGAAGAATGCCACGGCTCCGAAGCGCATCTCTGCATATGGGTGGACACCGGGCCGTCTCCATGCAAGGTCTGTGTCAGTATTCGAACGGCGTCGCGTTCGCCGGCGCGGGCCGGGTTGCCACGTTAATGCGTTCGACGCGGAGCTTGCCCAGATGGGCCTCGAGTAGCTCCCCATCTTCGCGCGCGGCCCGATAGCCCCTGGTCGCGCGCAGGCAGCTGCCGCCGCCGACGCCATCAGGCGCAACGCCGTCGTCATTGTGAACGCGCGCAATCAGGGGATCTGCTGTCGACCGCGGCAAGGTACAAGCCGCGCGGCACCTTCGCCCGCCGCGGGCGGGGGGGAACTACCGCTCTCGCGCCTGCGTCGCCATGGGCGGCGTCGACTCCGCAGCGGTTTTTTGCCCGCCACCTCTGCGCCGAATGCCTTCCAGAAATTGCAGAAAACGACGCAGTGCAGCGCCGCGTGTAAACGACCCCCTTCGGCGGGCTGCCGCGAGCAAGGGCCGAGCGTCGCTCCGCCGCCGGGGGGCAGCCGGGGCGGGGCCCGCGTTGGAAATACGGAATTGCAGGGTCTGCCAACATGCTCGAGCCGATTCCACGTGCATGACGCTGCAAGAGAGGGGCGCCAGGAAGGGGAACGGAAAGGGGGGCGGAAATTGGGGGCGGAACGAGGCGGATCGGAAGGACGGGGGCGAGGATGAGGGGGCGGGTGCAAAGAGCAAGCGCTGGGTCAGATTGAAGAGTGAACAGTTCGACAGGCCGCCGTAAAGGTCTTGGGAGCACGAACTCACCCCGCGTCGCCTGGCGGGCAGCCCCCCGAGGCCCCACGAATGTGCTCGACCCTCCAGGATATGGCCCCGCCACGATTTGCCTTCCGCGCCCTGGGGCCGCGCTCGAGGGGCCCGGTCTCCCTTATCTGCCCCTTCACCTAGCCGATTGTTTCTCTCACCCCTCGCCTGACATTCCGCGCGTCTTGGATTTGCTGTCGTCGGGCAGAGCTCGCGCTTTAGTCTTCTCCGCGCTGGTCCATGCATATCCGCTGTGCGTATGTCGCGAGGGTTGGCGACTAATGAAGGGGGGGGGGCGTCTGTTTCGCCGCGGAGAGTGGCTGCGCCGCACGACATGCCCAATGAGGGTGCGACGCAAGGATCGCCCTTGGAATAGCGCGCCGCGCGCAACGAGCAACCTCTGGGTTCCAGAAAATGGCGGGGCAGGCATGTAGTCGCCCCGCATCGACGCAGCCAGCCGCCCGCGCAGAAGTTGCCGGTCAGCCTCGCCCTCAAGGCGCTCGCCATTGCTTCGACAACGGCCCCTGTCAGCAGCGTCCGTCCTGAAAGCTCCTCTTCGACGGCGTGCTAGAGATCGACGCAGACGTGCCAGCGCGCTTCAACGAGCGCGATTGCACAGCCCCCGCCATCGACAGCGTCTTCATCAGCCCACCCCCGCCCCCGCGCGTTGCAGGAGATCGCGGCCGACCGCGCGACCGAGCGCGGCGCCGCCCCTTTGTCGGGCACGCGCCTCAGTGGCCGCGATATCTTCTCTGTCTTGCTCGCCATCAAGTCCCAGGCGTCGCTGCTGGACCAAGCCGTTTCTCCCGCGATCTTCCGCGGCCGTTCTATGCGCCGAGATCATCAGCGGCTGATCGGCACATCCGGCGCGTCGCACCTCCCCGCTGGGTCTCTGCGGCGCGTGCGCAAGACGCTGATGCGCGAAACTGCTAGCCTGATTCGCGACGAATGGGCGCGCCTCAAGGGCGGCGAGCACGCCGGATACGGGCGCGCGCTAACAGCGCGCTCGATCCTCCGATCTTGCGGCCCAGAGGCACGCGTGCCAGGCCGGCTCCGCGAGCTCAGAGCAGCTACGCCGGGCCCGTCGGCCTGGCCCGGCGCCGCGCCCTCCTCTGGGCCCACCCGACGCGCGGGCTGGCCCTCCAGGGCGTCAAAATCAAGGCCCAGTCGGGGACCTTGCGCGCCGGCGGAGTGCTCCGGCATGGCCGCAGCTCTCCGCTGTCGTTGGCTGCCCGTTTTCGGCGAGAGAGAGGTCGGCGCGTCGAAGGCCGAGCAGCGCATCGCCATGCGAATGCCGATTGGACAGGAGCTCAACCTCGGCGCCCCCCGCCAAAGCCGCAATCCCCAACTCCCTGATCCGTGCTCGCTCCTCGTCTACTGGTCCGGACTGTCTTCCGCGCGCAGCTGGGCTCGCTCGCGATACCTCGCTCGCCGTCTTCGAGGACTTGGCTTTCTTCCGCTGATTCGACCAGTACTTCGTCCGCGACCTCAAGGACTCCGACTTCGCATTCTTGCCCAAGGGAGACAACGCGTTGGGCGCGCTTTCCACCGACCGCGAACCTGGTGATGCGCGCCCATTGCTTTTTCAAAAACATTGTCATCAAGGTCATCGTGGGCTCGGCCAACTTCCAGCTCAAGGACTCAATCAAGCAGGGCACTCACTATGCTCAACAGACTTTCGTCGCCGGCCGCAGGTCGAGCAAGCGCGCGCGCCGCGCAGGAGTTGCAGTGCATGTTCAGAGCGCCTCCCGTCTTCACCAGCTTCGGCTTCGCGATTGATTCCCCCCTTGCTGGAGCGGGCCTGGATCTTCCGCGCCCTCGGGCGCTTCGGCCTCCATGCTGGCTAAATCAATGTCTTCGACGCTCTACTTTGCCCCGAACAGCTGAAGGGCGCCCTCACATGGGGCATCCAGTCGCCACCGTTGCAAGCTGAGCCTGCCGCGCGCTGGCAGTCTCCTAGCGAAGCTGCTCAAGGACGTCCGCCCGAGCTGGAGGTGGGCCGCGCTCAAGACTTTAAGCGTTGGCTGTACGACCTCGCGCCGCATGCATACGTTCACGTGGTGCCGCTGTGACTTCGGGTGCTCCGAAACGTCCGATGATTTGCCCCGTTGCCTCTTTTGCCCCGTCCTCGCGAGCCGCTTCCGGCCCCCCGAGTCTTCACCCCCTTTTCCACAGCACATTCATTGCATGCGCCATCGGCCCAGCGGCCGCCTATCTGGACGAGCGAGAGAACGATCTCCCTGGTCCGCAAAGTCCTGCGATTTGCACTCGCTTTCCACCCTTGTAACACATTGAAGCAGATTGCCTGCCCGAGTGCCGATGGTTCAGCCGCCGCGCCCAGCGCATCACGCGCCCTCGCGCGGCTTCAAGTGCCCCGTTGTCGCGCCGCCAGCCGCCAAATCATCTCGACTGGGTTGTGCGCTTGGACACGCGCGTTGCCCCCCCCAGGGTCTTGCCATCTCTCCTGGCGCGTCGCCCCAAGGCTCTATCTCCGTGGTGCGCGCCGCAGCAATGCTGCGAGATTCGAGCGAAGAGGCTGGCCTGTCTCGGTCTACCTCTGTGCGGTCTCCACGTCGTGCACGCGGCGAGCAAACTGATCCTGCGGGAGTTGGGGCTGCGTGTGCAGGGCGGCGGGGCGGCGTACCTGCGGGGGCCGCGCCCGCCGAGCGGCTCTGCGGGATGGCTGTTTTCCAATATGTTTTGCGTTCTCTCGTTCGTTCGCCGTTCCTGTCCGCCTCTACCCGCGATGCGGCTTCTCCCGCGTCCAGGGGTACCCCTGCTACGCACGTTTAGTTGTATTGTTTGCGTGTTGCACGCTGCATGGTTCGATGTAGCGGAAGATTGTTGGCAATGCCGTTGTAGTGCCCAGCCTGTGTCGGTAACGGGGTGTTTGTTCGGGGCTGGCTGGTGGGCGGCCGTCCCCGCAGGTCTGGAGGGCGGACCGTGGTCCGCGCTTGAGCGCAGCCTCGGGGAGCTGGTCGGAGCGGTTTGTTCGTTATCGACGATTTTGGCCGCCCACTGGTTTCTCAGGGTGTCCAGCGCCACTCAGACTCGCGACGTGCTGATGTATGCCAATTCTGATTGCCGTTGGCTAGAAGGGGCCGGTGTTCCTGCCTCCCCCCTCCTTGGTTATTGATAATTTGCGCCGTCGTCCTCGATGCTATAGAGGTGGCCGTCTGGGCCCATGGGTCTCACATAGCGTTGCAGCCCTCCTTCCCCAACCTTACACTGTTCAACTCTTGGCCTGGCTTCCACGACTGTTTTGTGCCGCTGGATCGCCAGCCTGCCAGGGTGTCGTTTGTAGTGTTTCCCCTAGCCAGCGTGTTGGCACTTTCTGTTTCGTCCTACCGGCCGACCCTTCTTTCCTCCCTCACCAGCGCTACGTATTTGATGCTGCAGTTGACGTGTTGGAGTGGGGTGACTCCGCTGTCAGAGTTGGCCACTGGGGATGCCCCATGTGGAACCACTCGGTTACAGGGGCCGCCGCGGAATTGCCCGAACACCCCTCTGGAGTGCAGATGACATCACCCGTTGGTGCCGTGTGTTGCTACGATTTGCAATTTACGAGTCTCCTTGTGCTCGATTGCCCGCATATCGCGCTTATGGGATCGCCCCCGTAGGCCCAGAGGATTCACAGATCTGCGATCCCGCTTTGTTCTCATGGAGGACATTGTCATCCTTCTTCGCTTCGTTCTCGCAATATTTCTTTATTTATTAATTTATTGTATATATGTATATCTAAAGGATGGCCTCCCCCCGGTCGTTCACCAACCACCGCGTGCTGTATGCCGCGCTTGGCTGGCCTGCCCTTCCCAAATCATCCCGCTCTTCAGTCACCTCTGTTGCTCCAGGCTGTGCGCCCATCCTCTTCAAGCTTCTCCAACGTGGCCCACCCCTGCTCCTCCTCCTGCACCTTCTCCTGGTCTTCCTTATTCTCCTCCTTCAGGTCCTTCTCCTCCTCCTCCTCCTCCTCCTCCTCCTCCTCCTTCTCCTCCTCCTCCTCCTTCCTCCCTCGAGGACCTCACCGGACGGCCTGGGAAAGCACATACGCCTACATGGCAGGTTCAGGGATAACGCTAGGGTGGCATAGGCTCGGGTGCGTCTCCCCCCCGGGAATTGCCCAGGTCAAGTGCTGAGCTAAAGGAAGTTCTGTCCACCCACGTGGGTGTCTCGCAGAGATGCCACCGGTTGTGATCCGCCACTGCGGGATTCCGCCGCGCGTGTGGCAAGACAAGCCGGACCATCAAATCGCCATCGAGGCGAGCTATTCTTGCAGGCAGCGGGTCGGTACTCCAGATTTCGTAATAAAGGGAGGGGGGTCTCATTTCGGGGGGGGTCTCTTCCAGTCTATCTTGGAAGGCCTGGGGGGTCTGGGGACGATGTTTTGGAGGGTTCTGCCGCGGGGGAGGTCTGAAATGGCTTGTGTTGGAGGGTCCAGACCCCCTCCCTTTCATTACGAAATCTGGAGTAACCTGGCGTGGGTCGCTGTTTGGCCTCGCCAGGGGGGGGGGGGGCTCGAGCGGAGGGCCGGGGCGAGAGGGCCAGGCAGAGGGCGAGAGAGCGCCGCCCCAGTGCGACGGTGATGAACGCCTTCTGCTCGGCCTTCGGCGGCAGGAGGGCTGCCCTCCAGCGGCGGCCGGTGGGCGATCACCACCCACCAAACCACCCCAACCCAACCCGAAGGCTCAGATTTACCCTCGATTTCCAGTGGGGGGGGGTCGGGAAGCATCGAGAAAACACATATGGAACCCTTACCCCCCTCCAACCCGAAATTCGGGTCTTCGGGTTGGGTTGGGGTGGTCTGGTAGGTAGTCAGGCGACGGTCGGGTCGGGCGAGAGCATCGGGGGCAACCTTTGGGCAGTCGTTAGGCGTTCGGGGTTCGAGCTTCTCGACCGTTCTGCTCAGGTCGCGTCGGCTTCCCCCCCCCCCCTCCCCAGCCCCGCCCCTGCCCGCTCTTCTCCCAGCTGTTCCCAGCGTGCCCCAACGGCCAAGTGGAACCTCCGCCCAGTGACCCCTCCGCCCCGACCATGTTATCCCGCGTCGCACCGAACCCGCCCCTCCTCTCCCCGCCCCCCTCCCACCCCTCCCCAGCCCCAGCGGTCCAGTGGAGCCTCCGCCCAGTGCCACCTCCGCCCCTTCTATTTTATTCCGCGTCGCACCGCACCCCCTTTTCCTCCTCTCCCCAGCGTTACTCAGAGGCCCAGAGGAACCTCTGCCCAGTGCCCCCTCCGCCTCGACCATTTTATTCCGCGTCGCGCTGCACCCCCCTCCTCTCCCCAGCGTTTCCCAGAGGCAGAGTGGAACCTCCGCCCAGAGCCCCCTCCGCCCCGACTATTTTATTCCGCGTCGCACCGCGCGCAACCCCCCTGCCCGTCCCCCCTTCCCAACCCTCCGCAGCGTTTCCCAACGGCCCAGTGGCAGTTCTGCCAATGCCCCCTCCGCCCCGATCATTTTATTCCGCGTGGCACTGCACCCGCCCCCCCCTCCTTGCCACCCCTCCCACCCCTCCCCAGCCCCAGCGGTCAGTGGAACCCCCGCCCAGTGCCACCTCCGTCCCGACCATCTTATTCCGCGTCGCACCGCACCCCCCCTCCTCCTCTCCCCAGCGTTCCCCACAGGCCCAGTGGAACCTCCGCCCCGTGCCCCCTCCGCCTCGGCCATTTCATTCCGCGTTGCACCGCGCCCCCCCATCCCCATATCGGCGCACCCCTCGCAAGTTTCGTGGCCCCATAAGGAGATCCACCGAATGAGGCGCCCACAACGCGGCATTGACAACTGCATCGGGGTCTTTCGCCGGGATAGTTGTTTTCCTCCTCCTCCTCCTCCTCTTGCCCCCCTTCCCCTGTTCTATGTGCAAGAGCCATGGCACACGTGCCATTTGTTTGAGCCCGTAACGTCCGTTACGGGGAGTCGTCCCCCCCCCGCCTCCCCCTTCCGAAATGGTACATCACGCACGCAGGGCGAGGGGGGCGGGGGGGGGGGGCGGTTCTCCCGCAAGCATGGCGCGGTGTTCACAGGCATGCTGTGGTGCTGACAGGCATGCTTTGGTGTTCACAAGCGTGCTGTGGCGTCCGCAGGCCCGAAGACCCCCCTTGTTCCCCCCCCCGAATTGGCGTCACGGGAGGGGGATTACAACACAAGTTCACAAGGCTAGGGCTCCAGTCGAGTTGTTTTACGATGTTGCATGTCGTGGGTGACGTCGGTGCGGGGACAACGAAGAACCACCACAACTGAGCGGATTTGTTCAGAGGGCTCCTCGGGGGGGGAAGCCGCCGATGTCCAATTCTTGACGCTTCGCGTATCCCCACCAGTTGGGCGCTCTCGGCTCCTGGCCTCGGCATCCACATTCAGCACAGCTCGCAGCTCACGTGAGGTGCCGCTTAGTCCGCTTAGGCAGTTTAGGTTGTCGGCTCTAGTTTGCTGTTGTCAATTAGTAGGCCCGCGCCCCGGACTTACGACACGCCGTGTGCGCTTTCGCCCGCGGCCGCGACCAAGAAGTATCCCCACCAGTTGGCCGCTCTGGCTCGACTCGCCGTTTGCGCTGTCGCTTGCGGCTGCTGACGAAAAAAAGTATCCCCACCAGCTTCGTAGCCCGCCCGATTCTTGACGCTGCTGGCGCGCTCGCCTGCGGCCGCGACGGAAAAAGTATCCCCACCAACCCATCCAGAGACGATGCCCAGAGGAGCTGACTCGATCAGGGAAGTGGGCAGCACACAGAGGAAGGGTCCCTCGTGCAGCGCTCTTGGGACACTCTTGGGCGTTCGTGGGGCCGTCTTGGGGCTCTCTTGGGCCTCTCTTGGGGCCTCTTGGGGGTCTCTTGGGAACCTCTTCTGGGCCTCTTGGGGGTCGCTTATGAGCTTCTTGGGGGCCTTTCGGGAGCCTCTTAGAGCGGGCCTCAGAAGCCCTCTTGGTGCCATCTTGGAAGAGCTCGAGCAAAGAAGAGGGGTTCCTTGATTAGCCCCCCCCCCTCGGAAGCCCCGAACATCCGTCTTGGGGCTCTCTTTGGCTTCTCTTGGGGCCCTGTTCGGCTCTTGGGGCCATCTTGAGGCCTCGGAGGGCCATTGAAAGCACAATTCATTCTCTAGAGGGCCTCCGATGAAGGCACCGTGGCAACTTGGAGCAGTCTTGGGACGTTCCTGGGGCCTCCTGGAGCATCTTGGAAACCCGGTTCGGGCTATCTTGAGGTATCTTGGAGGTCATCTTGGGCTCTCTCTGGCGCTCTTAGAGACATCTTGGGCACAAAAGGACCCTCTGACACCTCGCGGGGCGCCCCGTCCAAGTCCAGGGAAGGGGGTAATGGGGGAGGGGTAAGCCCTTCCCCGAAGGGGAAGAGGGGAAGCTGGAAGCGGAACCACCCTAAACCACCTACGCCCAGAGGGCTGGTTGGATTTGGCCGTTTGGGGCGCCCACATCGACCAGACACAGTGTTCTGACGAGTGCCTCGATGAAGTCGTGGTCGCTTGCTATCCCCGCAGTCGGCTCTCAGGGCAGGCGCCGCTTTTTTGTCCGATCTCGGTCTTCAGTGGCCTTATCCGGGCCCCTGGGACAGGCTGCCCCGTGAGGACTTAGGGGCAACGTTAGTGGGGGGATTGGCTCCAGGGGGATGCATCGTTTCCAGATCGCCCATTGATCGTCGATAGAGGCCCGATAGCCCGCCCCGCCCAGGAACCCGCGGAGTCGCTGTCGTGGGCCTATCGCCATCTATCGGCAATGTATCACCGATTCGTGATCGATGTTCCCCCTCGAGCCGGTCTCTCCCTATCGTTGCCTCTCAGGCAAGGGGTCGGGAACCCTGGGGCCGCGACTTGACAAAATCACAACGTCTGATGCCCGGGAGCGGGGGGTGGAAGACGGGGGGGTACGAGAGCAGCTGTGTTCAGCTGGTTCCGGCCCCGCCGCCGGGCGCTTTCCTCGATCTTACGGCCGCCTCTGGCGGTGGAAAAGCAAGCCACGTGAGCTGGTTCGGTAACCCCCTCTGTGCTCTCCCCCCGTCTCATTTGTTCCGAGACGAGGGAGGGGACGAAGGCTGGACGACACAAACCATGTACCAGGCCAGTTCGATGCACGCCTCTGCAGGTGCTGGCACGCGCGGCGCCGTGCGTTGACCTGGTCAGGTACTCAGCCAGCGTCGCGAAAGGAGGAGATGGGGAGGTGGATGAGGAGGAGGAGGTAGAGGGGCCAGGTGAGCTGCAATGCGCGTTCTGGAACAAACACTGCATTTTGTTGAATGCGTTTTGTCGATTTCGATGCGGATTATCTTGCTGAGGCGGTCGATGAGAAGGTTGAAGGGGGGCCGATCTGGAGGATGAAGAGGGGGGACTACGGCGGGGGGTGGAGGGGTGGCGGGGAGGATAACGTCGAGGAGGAGGAGGAGGAGGAAGAGGAGGAGGAGGAGGATGGCGAGGAGGAGGGGGAGGGGGAAGGGGAGGGAGCGTGGGGTAGAGTAGAATGACGAGGTGGAGGAAGAGGACGACGACGCCGAGGAGGGGGAGGTGGAGGAGGCGGGGAGGTGAGGGCGGGGAGGAGGAGAGGCAGGCGGCCAAGTCAGCGGCCAGGGGGGGTCCCTCTGAGCCGCTCGCAGCGCGCCCGCGCGAGTCGTCCTGTGAGGGAGGGCCCACCCGGATGCGGGCGCCACCGCTCTGAGGATGCCCACGTGCTGGGGAGAGCAAGGACGAAACCAGGGGCGACGTTGGGGGGGGGGAGGGGCTCGGCGCGGGATCGCATCGGCCCGAGATGGCCCCTGCCTCGCCGAGGCGGGCCTGATCGCCCGCCCCGCCTGAGAACCTGTGGGCTCGCTCTCGGGGGCCCCTCGCCGATCTCTCGGCGGGGCATCGCCGATTCTGGGCCGATGTCTCCCCTCCCTGCGGCGGCACCCCCGTATGGTTCCCCTACAGGGGGGGGTCACGACATCTGCTGCGTGCCGCCGGTATCGTCCCCGCCGCCCGGCACATTCCTCGACAGCACGCTGGCGCTGGAAGGCGGCAGGGAAGTCAGCCACGTGAGCTGCTCCGCTACCCAGCCCCCTTTACTCTCCCCTCCCCCTCTTAGTTCGACCCGGGCCTCCAAGGACACACATTTACAATCAAGCCTGCGCTCGAGCGGGAGCTTCGTTTTCAGAGTAACTGCAGCCTGCGTCGAGGCGAGAGCGCGCGGAACCGTTTCCAGAGATCAACATTGGTTGTTCTCTGGAAGTTTGTATTCAACAACGGCTCCCGCCTGATACCCCCTCACAATTTATGTGAGAATCGCAACTTCGTGCGGGACTTCAGAAATGTATGCAGAAATCGCGCTCTCGCGTGGCACTTCCGTATCAATTTGTTGCGTCACCGTGCCCCCGACACTCGGGAGTCGCGCTCTCGCGGTGGATTTCTTCACGATCTGCAGTAAACCCGCATAGGAAGGATGGGCAACTTTCCCAATGGTACCCTTGCATCCTGGCCTCCTCGGTCCATCCTTGGCCAGTTTCGTTGGCCGCGCTGTGCTCGGAAAGCTTCGAAAGGGACCGTTACCAGCCTCGAACGTATCCCTATCGTTAAGATTGACGCGCCAAAAGGCGATGACAATCTTAGGGACTCGCCCTCAAAACATAAGGGAATCCCTAAGATTGGCATCGTGATGAGGAGGTGCCCAGCATAGGGATAGGAATATGTTCCAGGCTGGTAACCCTTGCATCCTCACCCCGCATCCTTACTATACGGGTCGACTGTACCTGGGAATCGCGCTGTCGCTCGAGACCCCCTTGCGGTTCCGTGCGTGGGTTGGCGCTCCAGCGACCCGCCCGCCCCACCCCAGCCGCCGGGGCCCGGCCGCCCGACCTGCCCGGCGGGGTCCGCACGCTCGACCCGCCCGTCGGTGTTCCTGTTCCCGACACCCCTGCAAAGCCCTCTCGTGCCCTATTCTTCCCCCCCTCCCCCTTTCTTCCCTCCTCCCTTCCTTCGCCTGTGTTTAGCGGCTGCGCCAATCACACGTGGCGGTGTTCCTGTTCCCGACACCCCTGCAAAGCCCTCTCGTGTTCTACAGTCGGGGCCCTGAAGAAGGAACCCTTTTTGTTGGGGAGGGGCTCCGTGTTCCTTCGTTGCTCTACAGTGCTCCTTGGGTTTGCCTGGGGTTTTCCATGGAAGATCGGAGTTTAACGTATGGGAAAAAGGGGCCTCGTTCCTTATTGTTCGTTCCTTAGGTCAACGCCCCGACTGTATTATTCCCCCTCCCCCTTCTTCTTCCCTCCTCCCTTCCTTCGCCTGTGTTCAGCGGCTGCGCCAATCACACGTGGCGGGCAGGGAAGATGTGCCCCCAGAGGGGGTGCGATCGAAGACGAAGGGGGCGGGTATCGAGGGCTTGTGATGTACGTGATGCATGGCACGCGAGCAGATGTGAGCGAACACTCTTAAAATGATTGTTGCTGTCGTTGTTGCTGTCGTCGTCCCACTCGCGACCCGGCCCGCGACCAACCCGCGACCCAACCGCGACCCACCCGCGACCCATCCGCGACCCACCCGCGACCCATCCGCGACCCACTCGCGACCCACCCGCGACCCAACCGCGACCCACCCGCGACCCACCCTGCGCCCTCCCTCTAACTCTAATCCGCAGCTGCGGGATGCTTTCTAGTAGATACAGTGGAGCAGGTGATTAAGACACTTCCTCTCGAACATCTGGACCAGCGTTTTTTTACACGCTTACCAGAGATCTGGCCAAGCTTCTCTCCTGAGAGCTGGCGGGTGCACCAGCTGTTGGGTCTCCCAGAGCTGGCCCAGGTGTTCTCTAAGAAGCTTCCGGGAAGCTGACCCAGGTTTCTTCAATGGTAAATGGATTAGCCGTACTTGCGGCTGTACAGCTGTGAGCATTTGGAAACGTATTTGAGTAAGAGCGAGGGAGGGAGGGGGGGAGAGAGAGAGAGAGAGAGAAACAAAAAAAAGATAGGCAAACATAAGTAATGAAATCATGAAAGGTTAGGCGAGTGAATGTGGCTTGCCCGTTTGGAAAGATGAGGCAATGCTGTGAGAGCGCAGAGCATTATTGAGAACCTGCTGCGATGCGAACGGATTGCCAGCAATGCTTACATTGGCCCGTCCATGATGTTGTCAGCGCGGTTCGCCGAAGCATCAAAGCACAATCGTCACAATCGGAGCAGAGCCTTACAGGAGGGTTCACCAACACAAAAGACAGCTCATCTGGATGGCCAGTAGTTGGCCAATGCATTGCGATCAGATAGGTTAGCCGGGAGGCTTCGGTTGCACGTTCAGGGTGCATACCAGGTGCGTGATACAGTGTGCCCTGAAGATTTTGAGGGCAAGCGCGAACCCGTTCTCACATCGATACCCTTCCTCCTCCCTGGCCCTCCCGCTCAGGTGGGAAGGGCAGCAGCGTGAGCATTGTATGAGTAGGGGCACGTGCCACCCCCCAGAGAGTCTGACAGGGGGATTCTCAGGAGGGGAAAAACATACAGACACAATGAATCCTCCACTCCCAGGAAAATACGGGAAAATATGGGACGTTGGGGGGGAGACAGAAACCCAGAAAATATGGGAAAATATGGGGAATCATTTCATTTGTGTGCATTTATTTGTCTCGGCATCGCTCGGACGTGTGCATTTTTCCTTCGGCGAGGACCACCGAGGAGCATCCCTGATCATTTGGCGAAAAAAACCACGCACGAAACCGACCAAAAAACACAGGGAATGGACGTCCGAGCGATGGCCAGTTGTGTGTCCCGGGGCCCCTTCAGACTCACACACGCCTGGGTCAGAGGGAGGAGCGCGACGCGCAGGAAGATGCGGAAGTTCAACGGGCGCAAGCCGGTGCCCAACGCCGCTCCCGCTGTCCGCGGAGGGTCAGACTGCGATTCGTGCGGGGTGCGCAGTGCAGAGCAGAATCAGGAGAGGAAAAAACACAGACACAATTAATCCTCGATTCCCCAGAAAATATGGGAAAACATGGGAAGTGGGGGGGAAGACAGAAACCCAGAAAATATTGGAAAATATTGGGATTGTTTTTATTTGTGTGTATTTATTTGTGTGTCCTGGGGCCCCTTCACAGAAACCAGCGTCCATCTCGACCAGATCGATCCGATTTGAGAAATGCTCTGGCCAGCTCGGTCCGGCTCGATGCCGGTATTCCTACGACCCGGTGTGCCCCGATGCTCGCACGGCACTGGCACGCATCCTGGCGCCGCCGATCTGGCCCGGCTTCGGCCCCGCGGGGATGCAGCCGGATCCGACGCACGTTCCGATTCGAGCCGATTTCCCGCTTCGATGGTGAATGACTGATCCTGGAATGAGTCATGTATTCACGTATTACGTGTCGAGGCACGGCCGCTTTACGTGTCGTGTCAAGGGCTCGGCATGGTCGCCTTGGCCTGTTGCAGTGGCTCTCGCCAGGCAGCCTGACATGCGCCACACAGGCAAACTCCCCTTTCTTCATGAAGGGTCCTGCTCGGGTCGATTCGGGCCGGTTCGGCGGCGGGCCGGTTCGGTTGCGCCCATTCGGTTTCGGCGGCGGGTTCTTGGGCCGTTTTGGTTCGGCGTGACTCGGGCGGACTGGTTCGACAGCGACGAGTTGTGGTACATCGGGGCCACCTGAATGTAGGTGCGTCCGCTACGTGGCCCTGGGAAGAAGTTCTTCCCAGGGCCGCGCAGCGGGAGTACTCCAGATTTCGTAATAAAGGGAGGGGGGTCTCATTTCGGGGGGGGGGTCTCTTCCAGGCTATCTTGGAGGGCCTGGGGGGTCTGGGGACGATGTTTTGGAGGGTTCTCCCACGGGGGAGGTCTGAAATGGCTTGTCTTGGAGGGTCCAGACCCCCTCCCTTTTATCACGAACTCTGGAGTAAGCATGTAAAAAAACGAGGGCAGTCGATGGGGAGACTTTGCCAACCAGAAGGCAGTGCGTAAGCGGAGAACGATGCGGAGCCAGCGCGGTCCGTGAGGCTCGCAGGGCCCAGTTCGATCCGACCGTGCGGTTCGAGTTTGCCTCCGGCCAGCTCGGAGATGTCCGATCCCGGCAGTCCCGACGGTGCCACGCGGCTTGGTGCCCGATCCGACGCACGTTCCCTGCGATCCAACGTCCCCATTCCACTCTGACTGCTGCTGCCTCCGCACCCCTCTCCCCCTCCTCCCTTCTCCTCCCTCTCCTCCTCCTCCTCCTCCTCCTCCTCCTCCTCCTCCTCCTCCTCCTCCTCCTCCTCCTAGTTCCTCCTCCTCCTCCTCCTCCTCCTCCTCCTCCTCCTCCTCCTCCTCCTCCTCCCCTCTGCACTCGACCGTTGCCGCCCCCCAGCCCCCGGGAAGGGTGTCCTGGATGCACGCAGCGTTTCTATCTGGCAGTCCTCGTGGGCACCCTTTGCCATGGACGCGGGGCTGGGGAGAGGAGCGGTCGCCCTCATGCGCCTCTCTCTCCTGAGCACCCCTGCTGCCTGTGCACCCTCGTTCTCCCCTTGCCAAGCGGGTGTGCACTTGGAGGTGGCACGGACCTGTGAGAAATGCGACAGCCATGCGCGACACTTGTGCTGCGCGGCGGCCCCGCAAGCCCTCACGAGCGGTGTAGGTCACTGTCGCGGTGGAGGCTGGCTTCGAAATGTTCCCGCGATGGGTCTGCTCTATAGGGGTGCGCGTGGTGCGGCCCACGCGCAGCAAGATGTTTGGTTGGTGTATTGTGTGTGTGTGCGGGTGCTTGGCGTCGGGCAGGAGGTACAGCGAGATGAGGAGGGTGAGTGCGAAAGGGTTGCGGCGAGCTGCGCCAGGTGCAGGTCACCATCACCACCCCGGAGGACTCCGGCACCCCCGTGTCCTGCGCCCCGCGCAGAGGGCGCCGTTGGAGCCAGGGAGGTAGCAGCCAGTGCACCCGCAGGCCCTCTATGTTGTATTGCCCTTCTCTGTGGAATGTTGTTCCAGCTCGTTCTCTACGTACATCAACCCTGTTTCGGAGGCTGGGGGGTGAGATGGCACTGGAACGGAGAGCCCCCCCCCACAAGGAAATCGGTTTCGTTTTCGTGGTCGTGTCGTGCGTGCGGGCGAGGCGACGCTGCGTAGGCGCGCGAGAGACATGATGCCGCCGTGGGGAGTCGGTTGTCCCCCCTCACCCCCGGGCGCGCGGTGGCCCAGGGTGTCCTGTCGGTGGCGCGGGGGTGCCCCGTCGATGGCGCGGGGTGCACCGTCGGTGGCCGGCGGGCGTGCCCCGTCGGTGGCGCGGGGTGCCCTGTCGGTGGCGCGGGCTTTGTTCTCTCTCCCTCTCGTCTGGAGATGCCCGTGCTGGGCCCACGAACGAACAGCCTTGGCTACCATGATGTCAGAGAAACAGTGGGGAGACCTTCCGCCGCGCACGCGGCACTGTGGGCTCCTGACCCGCAGCCCACTCCCAGACCGCCACCAGAGGGCATAGAAGAGGACCCCTTCGAAGAATACACCGACCCCGCCACGGGGGCTAGATGGGCTTCTGCGGCAACCGGTGGGGCAGTTTCGCCCCAGACCCACCCTCTCCTCGCCAGGGCAGGTTACGACGTGCACTACGGGCCAGAACATCCGCTGAACCACTCTGCCCGTGTCCGTGGCCAGGCGCAGTCCACGCAGAGCGCTGAGATCCTGGCACTGCTCCACCTCACCGCCACGGCGGAGAGGCCCGTCCACATCTTCGTCGATAGCAGAGTCGTCGTCGACGGGTTCGAAGCAATCCTCGAAGGACCTCCCCATCGCAAACTTAGGTCTCGCACGCCGACCTCTGGCAACAAATCCACCGGGTGGCCCAGGCCAAACCCTACATGTTCAAGGTCCAAAACATCGACTGCCACCTCGGAGAGCAAGGGACCAACGTTGGCCGCATCTCGCCAATCGCCGAGGCCTTCCAATGCCACGCTGATGAGATGGCAATCGCAGGATACCGCCTGTACTCCCTGCCACAGGATGCCACTGACGTGGTCAAGTGGCGTGATCATGTCGTCGCTGTCCTTCACAGCACAGCGGTCGCGATATATAACCGCCGTCACACCGCATTTCCGCTTCCAGGGACGAGTTGGATATCCCAAATCGGAAATGTACCAGACGAAACCCAACCCTCTCACCATTCCCAAGGCCAACCAGGGCAGGGGTAATACGATGAACTCGGCGATCCATGGGACATCCATCCCGACAACTTCAAAGGAGACGAAGAAGACCCAGTTGGCCTATGGGGCGGGGCCCTCGACAATGACGACGAAGACACTCCGAACCCAACAGATGGTCACGACAGCGACGGGCACGACTTGGACGACGAACGCTGACCTCCACGCACAAACATGCACGTGACACCAGCGACCCAAGAAGTGAAGGTCCAGCAGGTCCCTACCTCAGACGCTAAACCGCTATCCACGCAGGATAACTCAGGGGCGGACCACAAGGAAGGCAATTCGGATCCTACCGTTCCCCCCGACACTGGCAGCCACACCCCAGGGCACAGCCGCGCCAACAACGCCAATCGTTTGGGAGAGGGCTTGTGCACGGCAGGCGAGGGGCCGCGGCCTGCGCCCAAGGGGCCAGTTCCGTCGCCCCAGCCCATTGGGTTGGCCAGTGCCGCCGCACACCCAACTTTCCCAACGCAGCGCATCCTGCCACTGGGAAAATCCCCCGCCCCACCAGGGAACACAGGACAGAGGCCCAAGTACCACCCACCAGGCTGTAGGCGCCGGAGTGGCGCCAGTGCAGTTGGCCGATCGGGGGCGAGCCCTCACGCAACGCCCCACCGCGGCCAGGCTACAACCCGCCCAGGATCGCGAAGCCGCGCTAGCCACGAGCATCACGGCGCTGCAGCAGCGCGCCTCTAGCTTCGCACTCACGCTCCGAGCCATCCAGGAACAGCCCAGCCCCCTCTCCGACAGGCTCCAGAGGGCACAGTCCGCCTGGAACGAGCTCCAACAGGCCTTTCGCACGCCTGTTTTCCTCGGGACCGCTCTCCAGGAAAACCTCCAGGCGCGACTTGCTGCCCACCGCTAGCGCACCAGCACTAACCTCCTCCATCATGTCATTCGTGCGCTGCGAGAACACCTGGCAACATGTTCTGTGCACCTGGCGCTGGGCCGCCGAGTGGGGCTGCCCCAAGGTTGGGCCTTTTTCTCCCAGGTCATCGAGGTGCGCATGCCAAAGCGCGCTGAGACCCGGCGCCTCCCCACAGCACGAGCGCTCAGAAGGCGCGGGGCACGCCCCCATCGCCACACCCTTCCGTTTTTTCCAACCGTCCTGCGGTGTTGGGTCCTCGTTTTGAAGAGACAGCGCCCCGCGTTCCTTCCTTCCTTTCCTCCTCCCTCCTCCCATCACCATCATCAATATCATTGTCGTCATCACCACCCATTTCGGCACACCCTTCACACGTTTCGTGACCCCATACGCAGCTCCACCTGAGGCTCCGGTGGCAGCGTTCTCATGCGCCCCCGCCACCAATTCTGGCACACCCCTCCCCTCATTCGGTTCGTGGCCCCATAGCGAGTGCCACCTAAGGCCCCAGTGGCGACGTTCCCATGCGTCCCCGCCATTGATTTTGGCACACCCCTTACACGGTGCGTGGCCCCATAGGCAGCCCCACCTCAGGCTCCAGCGGCGACGTTCCCATGCGTCCCCGCCATCAATTTCCGCATACCTTTTTCATATGTTTCGTGATTCCATAGGGAGGTCCACGCAAGGCTCCAGTGGCGACGTTGCCATGCGTCCCCGCCATTTACTTCTGACCCACCCCCGACACGGCTCGCGGCCCCATAAGGAGCTCCACCTCAGGCTCCAGTGGCGACGTTCCCATGCGTCCCCGCCACCCATGTCAGCACACCCCTCACACGGTTCGTGGCCCCAAAGGGAACTCCACCTGAGGCCCCAGTGGCGACGTTCCCGTGCGTCTCAGCTATGCATGTTGGCACACCCCTCACACGGTTCGCGGCCCCACAGGGATGTCCATGTCAGGCTCCAGTGGCGACATTGCCATGCGTCCCCGCCACCCATTTTCGCACATCCCTCATGCATTTTGTGGCCCCGTAGGGAGTGCCACCTGAGGTCCCAGTGGCGACGTTGCCATGTGTCCCCGCCATTTGTTTGGCACACCCCTGACACGGTTCCATAGGGAGCTCCACCTCAGGTTCCAGTGGCGACGTTCCCATGCGTCCCCGCTACCCATCTCAGCACACCCCTCACACGGTTCGTGGCCCCAAAGGGAGCTCCACCTAAGGCCCCAGCGGCGACGTTCCCATGCGTCCCCGCCACCTATTCCGGCACACACCCCATGCGCCCCCGCCACTCAGTTTCGGCACGTCCCCCACACGGTTCGTGGCTTCATGGGGAGCTCCACATATGGCTCCAGTGGGGACGTTCCCATGCGCCCCCGCCACCCACCCATTGTCGCACACCTTTGACACGTTCGTGGCCCCATAGGCAGCTCCACAGGCTCCAGTGGCGACGACCCCTCACACGATTCGTGGCCCCATAGGAAGTGCCACCCAAGGCCCCAGTGGCGACGTTGCCATGCGCCCCCTTTTCGGTACACCCCATTACACGGATCGTGGCCCCATATGGAGCTCCACCGAAGGCCCCAGTGGCGACGTTCCCATGCGCCCCCGCCACCCATTTTCGGCACGCCCCCCACACGGTTCGTGGCCCCATAGTGAGCGCCACCGACGACGATATCCACAATTGCGGTCTTCACATCTGCGAATGGTTGGGTCTTTCGCCAGGCGAATTTTCCAGTCGGAGTTCCTTCCCACCAGGCCAGGGGGGAGGCGTCTGCTTGTTACCCCTGTGATGCGCATGCGGCAGACACATCCCGCATTTTCGAGGAAGACCTTCAGGGTGCTTGAAACCCACAGGCCAGGACACACTGCCCCAACAAGTGCGATCTATCTCTCTCTCTATATTGTGTTTTATTGTTGTCTCTCTTTCTCTCTCCATATATACATACATACATATAGATGTGTATATATGTATCACTCTCTTTCTCTGTGTGTTCTCTCTCGCCCTCTCTTGTCGATCTCTTTCTCTCTCTCTCTCTCTCTTTCTCTCTCCCTCTCTCTCCCGCGTCTCTGTATATGTTGTTCTCTCTCTCTCTCTTGCTGTCTCTATTGCTGTCTATGTCCCTCTCCCTATCTCTGTCCCTGTCCCTGTCCGTCTCTCGTGTTTTTTTTTTTTTTTTTGTTTTTTTGTTTTTTTTTGTTTTCTCTCTCTCTCTCTCTCTCCCTTTCGTCTCTCTTTCTCCCTTTGTTTGTTTGTTCTCTCTCTCTCTATAGGTGTATCCCTCTCTCTCTCTCTCTTTCTCTGTGTTTTGTCTCTCTCTCTCTTTCTGTTTCCCTCTTTCTTCCTCTCTCCCTCACTCTCTCTCCCGTCACTACTACTGGCTTTCGGCCCATTCCGCCACCTTGCCCGGGTTGTGGGTCAAAGTTCGAAGGGATGTTTCTTCGGGTCTCTTGGGAGCGCTCTCGGTGGCCTCTCGGGAGCAGCTTCGGGGCCTCTTGGGAGCCTATGGGGGGCCTCTTGGGGGCCTCGTGGGGTCTCTTGAGGGCCTCTTGGGGGCCTCCTGGGGACGTCTGGGGGCTGTGAGCTGGGAAGGTCGGTTCGTGTCCTCCCTCGGGGGCTCGTCTTGGGGAATTCTTGGGATCCCCTCGAGGCGTCTTGAAGGCCTCTTGGCCCGTCTTGGGGGCCTCTTGAGCCGTCTCGGCGCCCTCTTGGGGGCTTCTGAGGCCGTCTTAGGGCGATCTTTGGGGCCTCTTGGGCTGCTCTCTGGGCACTCCTGCGAGTGCTCTTGGATGCTTTTTGGAAGCCTGGAGGCTATGTTGGGCGTCTTAGAGCGATCTTTCGAAGGCGCTGGGCGCTCTTCGACGGTCTTGGTGGCCTCCAGGGGGGGTCTTGGCCCGTGTCGGGGATCTCGTGGGCGAGGGGACCGTCCCGCAAGCTCACGCGGAACACCCCGAGAGCGCCCGGAAGCGCCTTGGAATTTCGTGATCTGGGCCTTTGAGATTTTCAATCCTGAGGCTGTAAAGTTGCAAGAGCCTTGGGGCACTCCATTACGTTCTGAAGGCACGATGGCGGATCGTCGAATGGCCTTCGGCCCATCCCGCCACCGTGCCTGGATTGTGTGTCAGAATCCTCAGGGATGCTTCTTGGAGTCTCTTCGGGGCGCTCTCGGGGGCCTCTGTGGGACACTTTGGGGCCTCTTGGGAGCTTCTGAGGGGCCTCTTGGGAGCATCTCGGGGGACACTTGGGGTTTCCTGGGGGTCTCTTGGGGCCTTCTTGAAGGCCTCTTGGGGCCTCCTGGAGGCCTCTCGGAGCCGAGTGCTCGAAATGTCCGTTCGGGTCCCCGTCTGGGCCCCCTCTTGGAGCCTTCTTGGGGACCTCGTGGGCCTTCTTGGAGGCCGTTTGGGCCGTCCTGAGGCTTCCTTGTGCCGTTTCGGGGCCCTCTTGGAGGATTCTTCGGCTGTCTTGGGGCGAGATTTGGGGCCTCCTGGGCCGTCTTGGAGCATCCGGAAGCCGGAAAGGCGAGAACGCCCAAATCATGTTCACACCATCGGGCAATCAATCGTTTTTTTGCCTCTTGTGGCCCTCTTGGGAGTGTTCTTGGAGGCCTCTTGGAGCGTCTACAAGGTTTTTGTTGGGCCGTTTGGAGGCCATCGTGGAAGTCTTGGAGCGATCTTTCGGCGATTCTGGACCCTCCTGGACCGTCTGGGCGGCCTCCCAGAGCTTTCTCGGCCTGTTTGGGGGCCCTCCTGAGCGAGGGGACCGTCCTGGATGCCCACGCGAGAAACCCGGGCAGCGCCCAGTACCGCCCGAGAGCGCCAGGGCAACTGGGGGTCCGTGACCTTAAGGAACTGACGAACCTTGTACCTCTCAGGGCTGCAATGAGCCTTGACGCACTCCACTTCGTGCCAGAGGCACGGTGGCGGCTATGTGTGTATGTTTGTGTATCTCTCTGTCTCTGTCTCTCTCTCTCTCTCTCTCTCTATATATATATATACACAGAAGAAACGCACGGCGAACCACCGCCGCCCCATGCTTTTTGGACAGGTAGCATGTGTTCCCGCAGCCGCCGAGGGAGGGAGGGGGGAGAGGAGGGATGGGCGAGAGGAGGGCGGAGGGGGAGGGAGGGATAGAGAGAGAGAGAGAGGAGGAGAGAGAGAGAGAGAGAGAGATAGGGGAACAAAAAATGGCATAAACACATAAACTCGGAGGTCCGCGCGGTCTTCTCGGATCCGCGCTGGACCCCCCTCGGCGGCGCCTCCGGCGCCGCCCCTGGCGCGCTCCGCGCGCCAGGGAGGGGGGTCCAGCGCGGATCCGAGAAATCCGCGCGGACCTCCGAGTTTATGTGTTTATGTCCTCACTTGTTCCCCTGAGAGGAGGAGAGAGAGAGAGAGAGAGGGAGAGAGAGAGAGAGAGAGGAGGAGAGAGAGAGAGAGGAGGAGAGAGAGAGAGAGAGGAGGAGGCGAGAGAGGAGGAGAGAGGGAGGGGGGAGGAGGGAGGGAGGGGGGAGGAGGAGGTGGGGAGGAGCAGAGCCGCAGGACACAGGGGCGGGAGCCGCTCCTCCGCCCCCCTGCGCGAGCCGCCCCTCGGAGAGAGGACCTCGTCTCACTGATGCTGCCTCCCGGCGGCGCCGGCCCGGCGCCCGGCCCAGGCCTTCCCGGGGGGGCCTTCCCGGGGGGGGGGCGGCCGCCTGGGCCGCCCGAGGAGGGGAGTAAGACACAAGGGCTCCCTCGAGGGCGCGAAGTTATTCGCGCTTCGCGCTTCGCGGTCCTCGTTCCTTCTCCCCCCTCCTCCTCGTCCTCCTTTTCTCCCTTTGGGGGGGCGGCGCGAGGGCGCGAAGTTATTCGCGCTTCGCGGAGCGCGAAGCGCGAAGTTGGGAGCCCTAGAAGACAGGGCTATAGGAGGGACAAGTCGCTCGAGCTCGAGGCATCTCCTGCCCTGGCTCGGGGCATCTCCTGCCGGGGGGGCCTCCTCCCCCGGGGTCGACACTCGAGGTGGCTGGCGCGGCCTGGGCAGCGGCCGGGCCGCGCGCCCCTGCCGCCGCCTTGGCATATAAAACAAGGCTAGGATCGGGATAAGTCGCTCCAGAGCGTTCCGGAGCGCCCTCAGAGCGTTCCGGAGCGCTCTGGAGCGGCCGCGGCGCCCAAGACATCCTCCAAGCCCGCCGATTCTCGGAGGTTTCGAGTTATCCCGATCCGATTTTGTCCCGATCTTCGCGTCGTTTTAGGGAGCGTTAAGTCGGGCCTGTCCCTCTACAGGGGGAATGTTCAAAAACAGTCCAAACATAGTCTGGGGACGTTTTTTTTGGGGGTGGGGGGGGTATTTGAGCATTTGTTTGGTATGTTTGGGGCTATTTTTGATTCTCGTGCAAAATCCGCCCGTAGGGGACAGGCCCGACTACAGGGGAGCGGGAGCCTTCGCCAGGCCCGAGGCCTGCTGCATGGAAGGGTCGAGGATCGCAGGGTCGAGGCCTGCTGGGCGTCCCTGGGGGTCTCGCCAGTGCTGCTGGGCGCAGCTCGGGAAGCTCGCCCGGAGGGTCACCAGGAGGGATCCGGGGATCGATATAGGATTACCGGGAGGGATCCGGGGATCGATGCAGGATTAACAGGAGGCAACCAAGACACACAGACACCATGAATCGTCGATCCCCCATAAAATATGGGGAAATATGGGAAGTGGGGGGGAAGACAAGAACCCAGAAAATATGGGAAAATATTGGGAATCCTGTTATCTGTGTGTGTACTTATTTGGGCGTCCCAGGGCCTGATTCTGACACCCTCCTCCGTGTACCCATTTTGGCTCAAGATGGAAAAGAGATATCTTGTCCATCGGCATAATATATCATCATGGTAGCGTGAGCTGGCCACTCACTGTTGCCGACCCACCAGGGCCTTGGCGCGCCCGCGGGCGCCACGGCGAGCTGGCCAGAGGCTCGAGGTTGGAGAAGGGCGGCATCGGTCGCACCTGTCAACGCACCGAGCTCGGCAGTGTCCGAGCCACCGGCAGAGGCCGGGAGGAGTCAACCGGCAAGGACCGAGAAGAGCGGCCGCAAGCGCGGCAAGAGGAGCGAGGCAGCGGTCGAGAATAGACGCAAGCAGCTTCAGTTCAAACACGGCCTGAAGGATACAGGCAATAAGCTTCACGACCTCGCGTACATCGAGGACCACCCCTCGGAGAATTCGTCGGGAGCCATCGAGGAGGCGAAAAAGGAGGTCCTAGATCAGATCATAGACCTCGAGCGTACGAGGCAGGAGATATCTGAGAGCAAGGAGGAGCTCGCCAGGAGACACGCAGTCAAACATGGACGAGCAAGTTCGGCAGCAGTTCGACTTACTGAGGCAGGAGTTCGCCGCTCGAATGAGTCAGACCGTCGACGAGATGAGGAGGCTGGAGAACGAGAATCAACGGCTTCAGCAGCAAGTAGCAGGAGGCCTCGCGGCAATCCCGCAGGCGATCGAGCGCATGGGCGAGCAGATCCGAGGCGCTACGAACGCGGGAGGAGCCGCACCCGGTCTCGTCGACACGAAGGGGATCGGCAGGCCCACGACGCTGGGCGACGATCAGGAGAAGTTCGGAGCTTGGAACCGCAAGATGGAGAACTACGTGATAGGCGTGTACGGAGAGAGCTTTCGTCCTGTTCTTCGGTGGGCTGCAGAAGCCGAACGCCCCGTGACGATCGAAGGGGCACAGGAGGCGCACGGAGGAGTACCAGAGCTGGAGACCAAGGTCCACCAGCTGTACGCGGCGCTGATCAGCACGACGGCAGACGGCAGCGAGAGCAACGACCTCGTGACGGGCGCCCCCGACGGGAACGGTCTAGAGGCCTGGCGGAAGCTTCACCGCAGGTGGGACCCGACGACAGGTCCGAGGAAGAGGCTGATCCTGAGGTCGATCATCTCGCCTCCGAAGTGCAACGCGGAAGAGCTGGGGTCCGCCTTAGAGAAGTGGATCCAGCAGATAGGCAAGTACGAACGCCGCCAAGGAGAAGACGGGCTGGCCGAGTTGCCGGAGGATATCAAGATGGCGGCCCTCGAGATGCTCGTGCCTCAGGACATCGAGAACCACCTCGTACTCAACAAGCATCGGCTCGTGACGTTCCAGGACAGCCTGAACGAGGTAATGACGATCGTAGAGGCTCGAACCGGCGTGAAGATCAAGGAGCCATCGATCCGTGCACGGGCGCATCATCCGGACGACATGGACGTCGGATCGTTCGGAGCCCCGAAAGGAAAAGGCAAAGGCAAGGGCAAGGACGGCAAGAGCAAAGGGAAAGGCAAGACTCAGGAGCCGAAGGGGAAGAGCAAATCGACGAGCGGATCATACTCAGGCCCCCGCACATCCCCGACGGGTTCGGGCCGTGGTTCAGGACACACGGCACCTCGAAGCACCGGCGTGCGCTTCGACGGCTACTGTCGGAACTGCGAGAGATGGGGCCACAAGGCATCCGAATGCTGGAGGAAAGAGCTGGGATCGAGTACGAGGGCTGGAACTGGATCCGCAACGGGGGCAAGCGCTGGTGGTAAAGGTGGCAGCCGCGGCGGCAAGGCCGGCGGCAAGGCGGCAGGCAGCCTGGAGGAGGAGCCTGAGGCGGAGGTCGCCGCTCTGGACATGGGCAGCTTGGACTGCCTGGAGCTCGCCAGCGGCAACGGCCGCGGCGTAGCGGCGGTCGACCTCTCCCCCTTCGTGCAGGACGACTGGATGAAGTTCAACTGGGACAGCGGTGCAGCTGTCTCAGCATTCCCTCGGAGCTTCGCGCCGCCGACGGGAATGAAGGGCAACGGCAGCACGTATCGTACGGCCAGTGGTGAGCTCGTCCCGGACGAGGGCAGCTTGCAGCTCAAGGCGGAGGACGAGTACGGAGTGCTACGAGCACTCAAGGGACGCGTGACGAACGTGCACAAGCCGTTGATCTCGGTGGGGCAGGCAGCAGGAGCTGGACAGTGTTCATTCCTGGGTCGCAATGGCGGCTGGATATTCCACGAGAAGAGCCCAATCGGCAAGCGCGTGGTAGGCATGCTCGAGAAGGAGGCGAAGGCGGCGAAGCACCAGATGCTGCCGGTCTATCGCGAGCAGGGCGTCTACAACTTCTACCTCAAGAAGGGCCAACATGGCTCGGTTGCTCCTCTCGAGGAGGGACTTTCGGCGAAGTCGAAGTCCGAGCTGGTGGAGCTCCTCAGCGGCAAGTCGAAGGAGGAGCTGCTGGAGATCTTCGAGAGGACAGTCCCCAGGAGGCAGCCCTCGGCGTAAGTCCACTGGAAGACTCAATACCGCGGTCCCCTGCGGCATCGGCTGCAGGGGTGGCAGCGGCGGGGTCGGGACCTTCCGACATGAGACCGCCGGGTTTTCAGCCAGCGGCAGCTGCCGCGGCCGACGTTTTGCCAGCTGCTCCTGATGGACAGCAGGCCGACGAGGGCGAGGAGGAGGCTCGCCCGAGGGTGCTGAAGGCACCTCACGAGCCCTCTCAGAGGGAGATCGTCGAGCACGAGGCGATGGGACACGCGACCTACCGCAGCTGGTGTCGCGTGTGTATTGCGGCAAAGGGCCAAGGCCAGCCGCATCTCCGCGCACCGGAGGACGACGAGACGGCGGTGCCGGTGGTCTCGTCCGACTACGCCTTCATGGGCCAGGACGACGCGGACACCATGCCGATGCTGGTCCTTAGGGATCGACGCTCGAAGATGATGGCAGCGACATTCGTGGAGAAGAAGGGCGACGACGCCTACGCCATCAAGTTCTTCGCACGCTTCTTACGGATCCTGGGCTACAGGAAGATCGTCAACAAGTCCGACGGCGAGCCAGCGATCCTGCTGGTCAAGAGGCGTGCGGTGGAGGAGGTTCCTGGCCTCGAGGCCATTCCCCAGGAGTCGGCACCGGCCGATCATCAGGCCAATGGGGAGATCGAGGTCACGGTGCGCGAGATCAAGAAGCAGGTGCGAGCGCTCAAGATGGACCTGGAGTCCAAGCTGGGCGTCAAGGTGGAGGACAAGCACCCAGTGCTAGCGCACCTGCCGGAGCACGCCGCATCGGTGATCAACCGATACAGGCGCGGCCAGGACGGCAAGACCGCTCTTCAGCGGCTCACGGGACGGCAGTGGAGGAAGCCGGTCCCGCTCTTCGGTGAGCGCCTGATGGTGCGGTTCGCCGGGGAGCGCGCGAGGAAGAACGCGCTGGAGGAGCAGATGGTGGAGGCTCGCTACATCGGCCACCACCCGCGCGACGGCTCGATGATGGTCATCACGAGCGACGGTGTGAAGAAGGCGGTCGGCTTTCGCAGCCTGCCGCAGGGCGAGAAGTGGATCACGGCGGGCTGGGACAGCCTGAAGGGCCTGCCGTGGGACGTGGCTCCGCGTGCGGCCAGTGCGCCGCGAGCCATCGTCGGACCGGGAGAGGCCGGTCCGCCACCGATTGTGGTGGTGCCGCCGCAGCCGCAGGCGCCGAGGAGGATGTACGTTCTCAAGGCGGACGTCGAGCGGCTGGGCGCAACGCCGGGATGCCCAGGGTGCGTCTCGATCGCCAAGCACGGCAAGGTGCTGGCTGGCCATGCGCACAACGCGGTGTGCAGCAAGAGAATCTTCGAAGCGCTGGACGCTGAGGAGGCAGGCCGGGAGAGGACCGGCCAGTACCGAGAGCGGAGGCAGGGCCAAGAGGCCAGAGTCCGACCGGCGGCAGCGGCCGCGGCAGGGACCCCTCCGCCGAAGACGGCTCGGAGGATCACCGAGCCGGTGGCAGCGGCGGCGTCGGCATCGGCCGCGCCGGCCGCGAGCCGATCGGCAGCAGCGCCAGCCGCAGCGGCGCGCATGCGAGAGGGCCAGCCGGGAGCATCAGGCTCCGGCGTGGCGGCTCCTTCAGGAGGAGCGAGCTCCAGTTCGGGAGCAGTGAGAGCGGCAGAGGCCGCCGAGGATGTCGACATGGCTGCGACCAGGTCGCGGCTGAAGCGCTTGGCGGAGGTGGCCCCGGATGACGTGCCGGAGGCCCTCGAGCGCGGTGATCCACAGCCGGCAGACGTGCCGGTACCGGTGGACATGGAGGATCTCGCGGCGCAGCCGGCGCCAGCGGAAGGACCTCAGCTGCCAGCTGGAGTGGCAGTCGTGTGGAACGCCAGTGAGGGGAGACACATGCGGGTGCTCGCTCTCGACGTGGCGTCGATCGAGCTGGTCGAGCTCGGAGTGCTGACGAGGGCGAAGGCGGAGTTGCTCCCGCTCGTTCGCGAACAGGTCAGCGGCCATTGGGCCAGCGTCGGCGTGGACATCGCCGACGAAGAGGTGGACAGCATCGCCTTATCGGCGTTGCAGCTGGGCGCCGTGGACGTGGCAGAGGTGCACTCGCCACATCGGTTCTCGGCTCGGGCGGCGGAGTTTCAGCTGCGCCCGGGCTTCGCGGCGGACCTGGAGGAACTCAAGGAGGACGGGACGCCGTGGGACTTGCGGCGACCCGAGGATGTCAAGGAGCTCGAGGAGCAGCAGGAGCGGATGGATCCCATCCTGCTCACAGGGTCCCCTCCATGCGAGAAGTTCAGCTTGCTGAGGGGCCTGAGCGCCAAGTTCAGGACCGATGAGCAGGAGGCGGCTGAGATGGAGGAGGCCAGACACCACCTGAAGGTGGCAGTCGACGCCTACTGGCGTCAGCTCAGGAAGCCAGGCAGGTACTTCCTGCATGAGCATCCCTGGAGCGCGCGATCGTGGAATGAGGACATCGTCAAGGAGCTGGTCGCGCATCCAGGAGTCTTCACGGTCAAAGGCCCCATGTGTCGGTGGGGCATGAAGCTCACGAACCCACGCAGTGGCCAGGAGGAGTTCGTGCGCAAGGAGACCGGGTGGGTCACCAACCACCCAGGCTTAGCCCGGAGACTGCAGGGCACTTGCAGCAATGTGGACGGACGCGCGGAGTGGCATCGCCACATCACGCTCGTGGGCGGCATCGCGCGGTTCGCGAAGGTCTATCCACCGAAGTTGGTGGAGGCGGTGCTGGAGGAGCTCAAGGACACGCTGAATGACGTGGGGGAGCTCAGCACCGCCCAGGTGCAGCAGTCGGGCCCAGTCCCTGTGGACGCGGCGGTGCCGCCCGGGGACTGGACGAGCTACTGGGACGACGTCAATGGCGGCTACCTGGAGGCGGGCCTTGTGGCCCAGGCTCGCGCGGTCGAGCGCGAGTGGGTCAAGAAGCAGGAGCTGATCGAGATCGTCCCGAGGTCTCAGGCTTTCGCCGAGACTGGGCGTCCGCCCATCCCACTCAAGTGGGTCGACACGAACAAGGGTGACGCGGAGAGGCCCAACTACAGGAGCAGGCTCGTCGTGAAGGAGATCAAGGCGAAGAAGCGCCCTGACGAGCAGCTGGAGGTGTCCGAGGTCTTCTCGGCAATGCCTCCTCTGGAGGCCATGCGGTCGCTGGTCTCGCTGATGGTCACGTGGACGCGGGAAGCACCGCTCCACATTCAGGAGTCGCTTCGCAAGAAGGGCAGGAAGCCGGGCAACTTCAAGATCGGCTTCTTCGACATCAGCAGGGCGCACTTCTACGGGAAGGCGCAGCGGAGGATCTTCGTGGAGCTGGAGGAGGAGAGTCGCAAGGAGTACGGCGAGGACAAGTGTGGCTTACTCCTCAAGTCCTGGTACGGCACGCAGGACGCCAGCAAGATCTGGCAGGGCGACTACACGGAGCTGCTGGAGGAACACGGCTACAAGGCGGGCGTGTCATGCCCAGCGGTCTTCTACAAGGAGGTGGACGAGACGAGGCTGCTGGGGCACGGCGACGACTTCGCGGTGCTGGCTCAGCAGCAGGACATCGACAGCTTCGAGGCCACGTTGGGCAAGAAGTACGAGTTCAAGAAGACTGCGAACCTCGGCTTCGACGAGGGCGACGACAAGCAGGCGGTCTTCCTGAATCGGGTCATCGAAGTCAGTGCGGGAGTTCCGCCTGGCGGTGGCCGGCCCTGCCGGCATGCGATGATTGAGCCGGACAAGCGGCACGCAGAGATCGTGATCGACGAGCTGGGTCTCAGCAAGGCCAACGGCGTGGACACGCCGATGGAGAAGCGCAGCGCCGACAAGCAGATGATGGACGCGAAGTCGGCGGCGCTGGGAACGGCGGAAGCTTCGCGCTTCCGATCCCTCACCATGAGGGTAGCCTACCTGTCTCAGGACAGGCTGGACTTGGCAGAGGCATCGAAGACGCTCGCCAGGTCCATGCAGACGCCGACGGAGGCGAGTTGGCTCATGCTCAAGAGGGTCGGCCGCTACCTTAAGCGGCATCCCAGTACGGTGACGGTCTTCACGGAGCAGAAGATGTTCGACAAGATCCGAGTGTACGTGGACTCCGATCACGCGGGCTGCGCAGTCACTCGGAAAAGTACCGGAGGCTTCGTGGCGATGCTGGGGCATCACGTCGTCAAGCACGGCAGTAATCTTCAGTCGACGGTCTCTCTGAGCAGTGGGGAGAGCGAGTACTACGCCCTGGTGAAGGGCGGGAGCGTGGGCCTGGGTCTACACAGCCTCTTCGCAGATTGGGGGCTGGACCTGAAGGTGGAGCTCGCCTCAGACTCATCGGCGGCCCGGGGCCACGTCCAACGGCGAGGTCTCGGGAAGATGCGACATGTTCAATCCCGATACCTGTGGATCCAGGAGCGCGCGGGCAAGGGCGACCTCTCGATCGCCGCGGTTCCTGGTAAGAACAATGTCGCGGACGTGCTGACCAAGAGCGTGGGTGGATCTCTCTTGAGGAGACACATGGCGACGCTCAACATCTGGGATCGGGCACCGAGTTCGACCCAGAAGGATATCAAGTGAAGGAGTGGATCGAATCCATGCTCCGCTACCTGTGGGGCTGGATGAGTTTCCGCCGGTGGCGGTATGATCGCACCGGACGGGTGAAGTGAGGGGCTCGCGGCATGGCCGCAGCCTGGCTGACGAGATGGGCGCGTCGGCTTGGACGCGCCCGCGTGTGACGTGGAGATGGGCGTGTCGGCTTGGACGCGCCCGCGTACGACGCATGTCGTGCCTGGCCGGGTTGGCGGCCAGGCCCGAGGAGGAGTGATTCTGACACCCTCCTCCGTGTACCCATTTTGGCTCAAGATGGAAAAGAGATATCTTGTCCATCGGCATAATATATCATCAGGGCCCCTTCAGATTAATCTTAGTCGTCCCCAGCAGCTTCCCACATCCCTGACGATCCGATCTGGGCCTCTGGGGCCCGTCACCCGTCCCTGGGACCACCAACAACGGATCGGGGGCGAAAAGCCGGCCCCAGAGAAGGGGTCGGAGCCGCAGATTGAAAACCAGATCGGCAAACGTCACAAGGCTTGTGTTGTGAAATTATAGCGAGGAGAGGTTTGCGGCAATGTCCTGCCCTCCGGCAGGCCCTCACCAGGCCCCTGGGCCGTTGACAAAACCTCTCGGGGCGAGAAGCCGACCCCCGGGGACGGGTCCAGACCTCTGGGAAGCCACGCTGCTCAAAGAAAGCACGATCTGTTGGATGTATGGGGAGGGGCTTCTTTTTGTTACGTCCCCTGGGCCTGAGGGTCCTCCTCCTCCTCCTCCTCCTCCTCCTCCTCGAACTTCCGGCGTTGCTTTCGTCCTTTGCAGCGTTGGGGCCCAGAGGTCTTGACGGTCCGGGGGCCCGAGTGCCGAGACTTGCCAAGCACCTCCTGCCCTCAGGCATCGGACGGTCGGGCGCCTCGAAGGGATGCCTGTGTCTCGGGCCGTCGCAGAACGGCCCAGAGAGGTTTTTTCTTTGTTGTTTGTTTTTTTGGTTTTTTCTTCAAAAAAAAACAAAAAAACGGCCCAGAGAGGTCCACATGTCGGGCCGAACGAAAGGAGGGGATAGGGAAAGGGGGGGGGGTACGAAATCTGCTGCATGCAGCTGGTTTCGGCCCCGCCGCCGGTCCCATTCCTCGATACATGGGCGCCTGCCGGCGCGGGGAGGCGCCGGGAAAAGCAGCTACGTGAGCTGATTCTCAAATCCCCCCTGTGCTGTCCCCCCCGTTCGCCCAGTCCGTATCTGGGGCCGCGCATCGAGGAGCACGGCGAGGGGAGTCGCCATGCAGGACATCCAACGAGGGGAGTCAGTCTCCGACGATGCATTCTGTTCCCCACCGACCGTCAAAGTGAACGGCCCCGCATTGAGTGGTTCAGCCTTCTGCGGTTCGAGTTCGTTTCACTCTTCTCGGCGCAGCCACAGCCACCAGCCCTCGTCAGTACAATTGCATCGTTGCGCCCTCGAACAGCGTGATTCGGATACGATGTAAACGCACAGGCTACCGGCTGGAGGTTGCTCAGCCTCGTGAGCGCACATCAGTGGTCTGCCTCTTACTGGTTGGTGCTCTGACGCGGATCAGCCACACCTTAGCTTCAGTGAGCCTTGGTGAGTCGGGTCACCCTCGCCGCATCATCGTATGCTCGTGGAGGCGCAGTGAGTCTGAGTTAGTTGCTCTCGCTCGCGCTCACCCCCCCTTTTTTCCGAGGTCTTGGACTGCCAGGCTCAGTGTGCACACACGTGGGTTCCGTCTGGTCATTGGCCGCTCGGACTCGCGTTCTGCCCGCGGCTTATTACAGTGTCTTGCTGTCCGTCTTGGCCTCGCTTCCGATTGCGGTTCGGCTGGAGCTTGGCGCCGCAAGGGCGACTTCTCCCCCCCGTTCCGTTGCCGCCTCGTTGCCGCGCCTTTTGCTTCCCCACCAGCCGGGCTGTCTGGGCCAGTCACCAGCAGACGCTGAAATGCGTCATGAAGGGCATTTTGTCCCTGGCATGTGCATGTGCCGCTGAGTGTTTTGTCCGCTGGAATCCGCGGCAATCTCGCGCCAATTATCTACGTACCGCGCCCCGGACGTTGTGCTCGCTCCCTGTCTCTCGCCTTGGAGCCGCGAACCAAAAAAGTATCCCCACCGACCCCTCTCTTTTCTTGCTGCCAAGTCGCGGCCCGGCTAGTGATCGGACGGCTTTCGACTTGCTTCGCGAGCCCGCAGACCAAAAAGTATCCCCGCTGGCCCGTCCGAAGACACTGCCCGGGGGAGATGCCTTTGTCAGGGAAGTGTAGGAGCAAGTGTTGGAATAAAGAAAGGGGGGAAGGGGTAGCCGTCAAGCTGAAGTTCGAGACCAGCCTCAGACCCTGGAGTCAACCATTACATGCCCTTCGATTTCTCGACATAGGAGTGATAAGTCGTGCCTGTCAATAGTAGAAACATAGTCTGCTGGGGATGTTGTTTTACATGTTTTTACTATTTTGGGGCACTGTTGGTGCAAATTCTATTTATCGCTCAAAATCCGCCTGTGTGGGGGGCACGCCCGACCTAAACATAGGAGCCTCTTGGCAGCTCACTCGGGCTATCGTGGGGCCCTCTTGGGGCCATTTTGGGGGGCCTTTGGGGTTCTCGTGGTGCCCTCTCGGGGCTCTCTCAGGCCCCGCCTGCGGGCCCTGCGAGCTCCATCTCTGGAGGCCATCGATCAAAAACGGGGGGGGGTCCTTAGAAGCATCCCTCCTGGAACCCTCTTGGAGCGCTTTGGGGGTCCGCCTCGGGGCGCCAACTTGGGACCCGCTGGGAAAGTTGGTTACCTTGGAAAAAAACAATTCGAGCTACGCCGGGCGGCCCCCCCTCCCCGCCGAAGACTCCTAGCACGACGTCGTTCGGCTTAGTCGGGCGGGAGGCCTTTCAATTTGTTTTTGCCATGGCACGTTTACAACAAGATCACTCTAGGGTCAAATCTTTTTCTCTCCCCGTAGATTCACAAGGAGAAATCACCCCTGGCCATTTTCCAGGCGACTGCTGTTCTTCCGGTATGCATGCGCAATGGAGAAATCCTTCCCGCGTGATTTCTGACCACGTTGTCCACTCATGTCCTTATAGTCAAGATGAATCACTACAGTAACCGGGATGAGGAATACCAGGCTCATCGCCCGAACGTGGCGCTGGTATCCCAGCCTGCGGACACGACCTCATAACTGTGGCCGTCTTTGCTGCGTTGCGCACACGTGTTGCGCAACGCAGCTATCGCGGCTCCGGACTCTCAATGGGCGCCGCCGATCGTAATTACGCCATGGATGCCGCTGTCAAGGGATAGCGCAGAATTCACCTCCGAAAGACACCAGCGATTTCCAGGCGAGGAATACCGCATTCACCGCTCGAGCGGGGATCCAGCATCCCTGTCAACGGACGCGTCGTCATCATTGTAGCCATCGTTGCTGCGTTGCGCCCACGGATTGCGCAGCGCAGCCGTCGCGGTCTCGGACGTGCAGGGCGCGCAGCCGAGCGTAGTTGTAGCCCGAGGTGCCTCTGTCAAACATTTGTTGCGCAGGTCTCACTGCCAGAAAGATACAGCTACGCTCATGGGGAGGGATGCCAGGCTCATTGCCCGAACCGGGATCCAGCATCCCGGGTCCCAGTCGACGGTCTACGGACATGTCGTCATCATTGTTACTATCGATGTTGCGTTGCGTCCACTGGTTCCGTTGCGCACCTCGGGCGCAGACAGCTGGGGGCAGGGGCGGAAAGGCGGGGGGAGGGGGAGCAAAAGCGGAGGGGGAGGGAGAGAGCGAGAGGGAGAGAGGGCTGGAGGAGGGCAGGGTGCAGGAGAGGAAGCGGGGACAGGGAGGAGGAGGAGGTGGGGTGGCAGGCAGAGGAGGAGGGAAGAGAGGGGGCGAGGAGGAGGGAGAGGATCAAGAGGAGGAGGAGGAGGAGGAGGAGGAGGAGGAGGAGGAGGAGGAGGAGGCGAAGGGCCAGGCGAAGGGGCAGGAGGAGGGGGTCCGCGCCGAGGTGCCGGCCCGTCCATCGCGGCGGCGCCCCAGGCGTCCACCGCCGCCCGTCACGGGGCGGGCGGGCTCCCCCCCCCCCCTCAAGCAGTTGTCGGGGGCGGCCAAGAGGGGGGTGATGACTAGGGGGGGGGGAATTCATGGCGGTTGCCATGAGATCTCCCCAGGTCTCATGGCGCCTCTTCTTATTTCAACGCGTCCCCGGACCCCCCTGGGCGGTGGCCATGATATCTCCCCAGGTTTCATGGCGCCTCTTCTTATTTCAACGCGTCCCCGGACCCCCCTGGGCGGTGGCCATGATATCTCCCCAGGTTTCGTGGCGCCTCTTCTTATTTCAACGCGTCCCTGGACCCCCCTGGGCCGCGCACATGCCGCTAGCCACGATTTGTGCCCCCCCCTCTTGGACGCCCCCCTCTTGGCTGCCCCCGAAAGAATATTCTAATAACCTTTGGTGACCTGCGCGAACTGTTCTCAGAACATTTCTGGCTGAGGCTGTCTTGTCTTAAGGCATCGGGCTTATGACCTGAGAACCCTGTTGTTGTTCTTAGAACATGTTTGGGTTCTACGAGCATGTCGTGGTGGGCCTATAGGAATGCCCAGACGGTCGGTCCCTGCTCAACTCCTTCTCCCCTCCCCCATGGCTTGGCGCTGGTGCCGCCTCTGGGAGGGAGGACCGCAGCCTCCAGCGCGTTGAGGCGGCAGTGCCCCGAGGAGCACGAAGGCATGGTCATGATGCGGCCAAGTCTGCAGCGCCTTGCTAGCCCTGGACAGCTGCACTTGCCAGCCGTCTTGGTCGCCCGTTTCGTCGCCCCCTCCTCCTGTTTCTTGTCCGAGCTCTGCAGGAGCGGCGACGTGGCCAATTTTGTTGTGTGCATTCGCGCCATAAGCCTGGTGCTCATGAGCGGCTGCCGGCATGATGCGGTCAGCACGCCGAGCCGAGGGCCACCCGGACTTGGCAGGGGCGCCGGTTTTCAGGCCGTTCCTCGGACCTGGGTCGGGGATGCTGGTCGCCTGTTTGTGGCCTCGCCGTGGCCAGAGAAATACCTCCTCCGTTCCACAGCCAGCGTTCCCCACGAGACTCAAGAAGTGAGTCTCGTTCCGTCCCGTCTCGCGTGGGCTCCAGGGGGCGAGGGCCGCCAGATGCTTCGTGACGCCGTGAGCCGCACCCTGCGCCAGCTGCAGCACGGCATCGGGTTTCGGCCTGGGCGCGGAGATGCTGTTGCCTTTCAGGGAGCGGTGGGCACGGGTGTCTGCACGCTCCAGTGGGCGGGGTGCGTGTCCCGATCCACCGGGCCAGCCCCAGCAGACAGTTAGCAGACGCATATGATAAGAAATCGTGTTACAAGACGTCTAGGGGCACGTCCGTCGTTGAGCCTCGAGCTTCCTGGGGTGCCCCAGAGCCTCTGTGGGCCCCCAGGGCCATCAAGGGATGAAGGAATGTTTGTGGGCCGCCGCGCAGAGGGGGGCACGGGGGAGGGGGGAAGGCTCCTCGGGAGCATCCTGCTCCCCAGAGAAGGCGCGGGCCTGGCCTTCTGAGAAGCGGCCTCCGACTTCAGAAGCCTCCCCCCTCCTCCCCCTCATGCCCCCCCCTCTGCGGGCCGCCAAGGCAGGCCGGCCTCTTCTTCGGCGCGCCTGCGTCCCTCGCGCAGTGTCGTGCGCGGCTGCGGGCCTCCGGGGAAGGCGTGCGAGCTCCGGTGGGCGCAGGCCTCCCGCGGGGCCCGGGGGCCTGCACGGAGGGCCCATGGCCCGTGGCGTGATCCTTCCAGGCGGGAGGGCTCAGGCCCCTCATCTCCAGGAAGTATCCTTCGGGCGGGGGCGGTGGCAAATGCGGAGCTCTGACCGTGCGCGCTGGGCGGCACGTGTCAACCTTCGTCTCTTTGCCTCGTCCCGGGCGCGCTGGGCGGCCCGAACCTCTCCTCCTTTTTTGGGCGCGCTGGGCGGGAGGATCAGTATCCTTCAAACGATCCCCATCCCCATCCCCATCCCCTTCGAGACCCCCACCAAACTTCCACCCCAGTTGGGGATGCACCCCTCGAAGCCCGAAGGGAACGACTGATATCCCCATCTGGGGGGGCAAGTCGGCCAGTGGGGCCCAGGCCACGCCGCTGGGGATGGGGATCGGTTCAACAATGCTCAGAGGAGGACCAGCACAACAACGCTCTTTTTTGCGTCGGCGGCCAGGCAGAGTAACTGCGCTGGCGGACGAGCAATCACAACGGGAATATACCGTTGAAGCGAATTGTGCCACAATGCAGGAAAAAAGGGAGGAGACAGGAAGGGCGGCCAAAGGAGGACAGCACAACAGAACACAGGCAATGTCAGTGGTTCTGCCATTTTGCTCCTCCCCAGGGGGGCCTCGTTTGCCTCTGGGCAGTGACGAGTGGGCTCGGGGCAAGAGGCTGGCCCTGGACTTGAAGGCCACCTCGGGCTATCTGAGGCTGTCTTGTGGAGCCATCTTAGGCAATCTTGGTCGCTCTAACCTCTCGCGGGCTTCTCTATCCAGCCCCAGAGGAAGGGGCAGGGGAGAGGTCAAGACACTTCTCCCAGACGGAAACTGTTTGGCTCACTCCGACCTCCTCTCCCAGCACATCAGCAGTACCCGAGTCTCAGCATATTCAGCGGTCGTCTTTGGATGGACAGCCACTGGTAACCCATACAGACCCCATGTGCGAGACGCTGTGGCGAGATGCGCCACGCGTGCCAGGCGCGCCACGCGCCCCTGAGGCCCAAGCGTGCCAGGCACGCTTGGCGCGCCAGATGTGCCACGTGCTCCGCGTGCGCCATGTCTGCTACACGCTCCAGCCGCGTCAGGTCCGCCACACACGGGGCACGCGCAGAGTGTGCCAGGTGCGCCCGCGCACGTCGGGAAACATGCCGGCCTCCACCATCCTTGTCGTAAACCAATGAGCAATCTTGGCGGAGTGGCCATCATGATGCCCAGCGAGCCTGCGCACAGCAGGCAACGTGCAAGCACCCCTGCCGGCCCTATCAAAAATCCATGCAGCGTGATCGCGGGCTGCCCGCGCACCGTCCAGAATGAGCCGCGAAGTGCACTTCGTATTGTCTCTGGCAGGGATGGTGGCCCTGTGCAGAGCAGGGAACACGCCCCCCCCGCCGTTCTCTTCAACTGAAAAGTACAACGTGCTCTCTGGGCCTCCCCTGCATTGTTTTTGTGGCAGTGATGGCGGGGTGCATGCCACCGAGCAAGTGATATGCCGGCACCCCCGCCGTCCTCATAATACAATCCAACATGCAAAGTGATCGCGGGGTGCCCGCGCATTCTCCAGATTTGGCAGCAACATTTATGTTGTAATGTTTTTGACAGGGGTGGTGGTGGTTGGGGGGGCTTCTTTGTCCGGGTTGGCTGCTGGTCGGGTCGGGGAGGGGGTGTTTATCGATACGGAGCGGTGATCAGTGGCAATGATAAGCGATTGGGTCGGAAGTGGAAGCGTTCTGAACCACCGGATTGCGCCCAGCGGGCTGGTGGGATCAACGTAGCGAGTGGCCCAGCCTTGATCGGCTGCTTGTAGCGCAGAGCAGGCCCCCCCTCTTCATACACTGCTGGCCGCTCGGCAGTACGGATAGTGGGCGGCGGACCTAGCGTGTACAGGCGCGCATTTTTCTTTCGGGGGGGGGGGGGGGAACGGCCCTCGAGAGGGGTGTGCCAAGACGTGCGGGAACGGGCATGCAGACCCGCCCACTGGGGCCGAAGGTGGAGGCCACTGCGGGGCACGATCCGCATAGGGGGGGGCGGACATGGCTGAGGGACGGCATCTGTGCGATCCCACGGTGGCCTTGGGTGCAGCTCCCTGTGGGGGCACGAAATACGTGATGGGGTGTGCTGAAATGGGCGTGGTGCGGCACACGCCCGCGCCCAAGGATGCCGTTGGTGGAGCTCCTTGTGGGGGCACGGTGCACGACCCGTGTGATGACTGGTGTGCCAAAATGGCCGTGGGGTGGCATGCGCCTGCGCCCTTTGGGGCTGCACGGAGAGCCCCGTATCAGATCACATCTTTTCGGTCAGATACCCGTGAGCCTTGTCCAAGGGGGGGTTGTCCATGGGGGGGTCTGGGCAAGTGCGGTGCTGTCGAGGTTGTTTTCTTGCGAGGGCGGCTGCAGCAGGAGTGTTCGCACGTTTCGAGCGCTGGGTCTGGCAGGTGATATGGGCGTCAGATTGAAACGGCAACCAGAGAGCAAAGGCAGGGAGGGGAGGAGGACCAGGGAGAGAAGGAGGAGGAGGAGGAGGAGGAGGAGGAGGAGGAGGAGGACCAGGGGGAGAAGGAGGAGGAGGAGGAGGAGGAGGAGGAGGAGTTGTTTCCTATTTTCGGGGGCGGTCCAGAGGGGGGGGTGACGACTACCAGGCGGGTGGATATCATGGCTGGGGCCATGATAATATCTCCCTAGACTTCATAGCCTCTCTTCGTATTTCAACACGTCCCTCGGCCCCCTCCTGGGCCGCGCACGTTCCTCGGGCCATGCTTTGCCAACCCCCCCTCTTTGGACGCTCCCGAAACTCTTCCGTGCTGCCGACGGGGGGGCTGTCCGTTCGCTTCCTGCCGCGCCGCCGCCGCGTACCCGAGGGGATCCCCGCGGCCCCGTCCGCGGCGCCGCCGCCGGTGCAGATTTCGCTGCAGGAGGGCCCGTGAAGCCTCTGTTCCCGAGGGAGGAGGGAGGGAGGGAGGCAAGAAGGAGGAGGGAGGGAGGAAGAGCGTCGAGGCACGTGCCGCTCGCTGAGCACGCCCAGCGAGCGCCCCGTGGGACTCGGCTTTGTGATTCGCCACGGCCGCACGCGGGACACGTTGGGCGAGTGGCTTGCCTTGCGCTACGGGCAGGGCGCGGTCAGCTTCGAGGGCATGCAACATGCCGTCTTCGACGTGGTGCTGGCGCACTCGGGTGGGGGGCGGATGTGCTTCGACGCGAGAATCGCCGCAGCCCTGGCCCGCCCTGGCCTTGACGGCCGGCCGCCGGAGAGGCGGGACGGCAGGCGTCGCGGCGCGGGAGCGGGACCGGGAGAGGCACACCCGCTAATGCAGGATGACGATTAACAAATGACTGGGGGTCGTGTTCACGCGGTGGCGCCCGGGATGACGATTAGAAAAAACCGGCCGCGGGCTGGAAAACTATTTGTTTTATCGTTCTCCTCCAGCCAGAAAACTATGCAGACATAGCAGAAAGCTATTTTTTTATCGTTCTCTCCCATTTTTTATTAATCGTCATCCCGCATTATTCTGGCCCAGGTCTTTGCACCGCCGTCGCCGAAGCGGGCAGTTCGAGGGCTCCCTGCGCGCCCACGCGCCGCCAGGCGCGGACCGCGCGGCCGCGCTGGCTGGCGTGCGCCGGCGCGTCGTGCCGCGGTGGCGCGCGACACGGCAGCCATGCTCTTGAGCGCCACGAGTCCCCAGCCCCGGCCATCGCGGTCGCCAGCTCAGGGGGCCGGCCGAAGCCGCTGGGGCTGCTGCTCATGTTGCCCCCCCGTTTTTCTCCCTCTCTTCCTCCTCCTCCTCCTTCTCCTCTTCGCCCTCCTCCTCCTCCTCCTCCTCCTCCTCCTCCTCCTCCTCTTCCTCCATTTCTTCTTGTTCTTCTTCCTCCTCCTCCTCCTCCTCCTCCTCCTAATCCGTTATCGCCCTTGCCGTCCCGTTGTCGCTGCGTTTCTGCGAGTCCCCTGTCCTCCCAAGCTTCGCCTGGAGAAGCAGCGATGGCGGCTGATGCACGACCAACACTTGATAAGCGTCCGGAAGCGGGCCGCCCTCGGTCATGACATCTTCGATGGATCCGAGCCCGGAGACCCCGTGGCAGTGAAGAGGGTCATCGAGCAGCGGTGCCTGAACTGGACCAAGGGTGAGAGCGAGGTCGCACGACTTCCCTCAAGTGTAGGAGCCCACAGTGAGCTACGCAAGGAGATCGTCAGGTACCAGATCATGATCCGTGCGAAGCGACATAGATTAGCACCATGCGGGCGTCTTCAAGCTCAGCAGCGGGAGCGACGAGCACCAAACGTCTCTTCCGATCGACTCTGCCGTCGGCGACACGGCAGTTTGTTTCTCCACTTCCGAGTATAATGCAGGAGGACAGGGTCAGGCATTCCCAGTCCTTGCTGCCAGGCTGCCGTGTCCATAGCCCATCTCGGCTCAAGGCGCGGATGGGTGGGGTTCTGTCTCATTGAAACAGCCTGCACTTTGCAGGCAGGCCGCGACACTTGGCTCGCGGCTGCAGCTTGAGGGGCAAAAGGTGCCCTCTTCCTCGGTTTGCAGATCAACGAGGTAATTATTCCATGTTCGCATTTCATGCAGATTCTGCCGGCATCACCGGCGTGATCCCTATTCCGTGACTGTGCTCTGTTGGGTTCAGGTTCTCCCCTCCCTCCCCCTCGCGCGCGCCCCACCCGTCCCCCCCCCCTCCCGAAGAGGGAGTTGCGCCGCCCGCGCCGTCGCTTCTGCTGAACACGGCGCCGCCGACGACGCCTCCCCAGGCCGGGGTGCTGGACGTGGCAACCAGCCTTGCGTCGGCTTTTACCAGTGTGAAACATATCCCTATCCCTATGTTTGACATTACCTCACCTCGATGCCGATCTTAAGGATTCCCTCAGTTTCTGAGGGCCTATCCTCAAGATTGTCCTCGCTTTTTGCTCGCCCATCTTAGGGATAGGGATACGTTCGAGGCTGGTTAGGCTTCACACGTAATAGCCCAGTTCTCCGACGATCCGCGTTTTGGATCCGGATTCTTTTCATCGATTCGGGCCTCCAGGGCCCGTCACCGGGCCCCAGGGCCACCAGGTTTGCCCTCAGGGAAGGGGCGCAAGTTTGCCCTCAGAGAAGGGGCTGAAACGTCTGAGGCTGCGCACGTCAGAGATCATATCGGCGGATGTCGGGGCTTGCGTCGGCTACACGTCAGAGTGACCCTTTGCCAGAGTGCCATCGCCTGTCGCTTGGGCCGCTGCCGCGACACGCTAAGCAGAAGTCCGCAATCGTAGTTCAACGCTGGGCGGAGTACGTGGGGCGTTTCAGGAACGGCCTCGCCTTCGGGGGGTCGAGAGGTTGGCATCGCTTCCTCGACGCAGACGGACGGCGGAAGCCAGCGGGAGCAACGCGAGGTCGGCTCCACCTGTGGAAGGCCCGCGGAAACCGTCGGTAACAACAAATGCGCCTGCAAGAGATGTCAAAATTCACCAAATGATGCTTGCACAAGGGGTTTGTACGTTGGTTATTTCCCCATCCCTTCTGTGTTGAGTTCTCGTCTTGAATGGAGCACCGCGGTCGCGTCGCGGCGTCTTCCGGTTCCTTCAGCCATCCTTTTTCTCTTCCCTCCTGCCTCCTACCTGCATCCTACCTGTCTCCCACCTCGCCATCCGTGTGTGGCTGCGAACCGCGAGACTGGTCCCCACATTCGAGGGTTCGGAGGTCCAGCGTAGCGCGGCCCTGCCCAGAACAGAATCATAGATCGCCGTCCCCTGGGGGCCTGCGAGCTGCGGGACCGGCGCCGCTTTCCTGGGCCTCTGTGGGATCCAGTGCAGCGCGGCCCTGCCGAAATCAGAATGCCAGCTCGCCGCCCCCTATGGGGGGCTGCGAACTGCGCATCCGTTGCCGCGCGTGCTGCGGCTTTGCCCAGATCGGGACGATGGCTCGCCGTCCCTCGAGGGGGCTGCGAAGTCTGCAGCTCTCGCTGCTCTCTCGTGGGCTCCTGGAAGGTCCGGCGCAGCGCGGTTCAGCCCAGTTCATCGGGACCTCGCACAGGGGGGGGTACCAGAGGGGGGGGGGGCGAGTTCGGTCCCGTTGGCGCATCGAACCGCAGAAAAGCGATGCAAAATGTGGTCGTCGACCGGAACCCGCGAGGCATCGACACTCGGCAGCCGCCGGAACCCGCGAGGCGTCGACACTCGGGGCGCGCGGGGGGCATCGTTTTTCGGAAATTCGATGCACCAGCGGATCGAACTCGCCCCCCCTCAGGATTCCCCCCCCCCCCCCCCTTTTGGTGGGCCCCGAAGTTCAGAATGATAACTTGCCGTCCCTGAGTGGCGCTGCGAACTTTGCAATTGTTGCTGGTTTTGCTGGCTGCTGGGAGTCCAACGTAGTGCGGTCCTACCCAGATCAGAATTCTAGCGCTCCGCCCCCTGGGGGGCTACGAACTGCGCAACTATCATCGCTCTCGTGAGCTCCTGGGAGGTCCAGCGTAGTGCGATTCTACCCAGATCAGAAAGGGAGCTCGCTGTCCCTTGCGAGGTCTGCGACCTTTGCAACTATCGCTGCTTCCGTGGGCTCCTGGGAGGTCCAGCGTAGCGCAGTCCAGCCCATGTCAGAATGATTGCTGCCCATCCCTTGGGGGGGCTGCGAACTTCGCAATTGTCGCTGCTTTCGCTGGCTCCTGGAAGGTCCAGCGTAGCGCGGTCAAGCCCATGTCAGAATGATTGTCCCCGTCCCTTGGGGGCGCTGCGAACGTCGCAATTGTCGCTGCTTTCGCTGGATGTTGGACGGTCCAGCGCAGTGCGGTCATACCCAGATGAGAATACTAGCTCGCCGTCCCCAGGCGGGCTGCGAACTGTGAAGGTGTTGCCACTTCCCAGAGCTGCTAGGGGGCCCAGCGGAGCGCGTGGATTAGGGGCACCTTGCCGACGCTGTGGGCTGCAATCTGCGAAACTTGCGCCACGTTCGCGGGCCCCTGGGGGGTCGAGCTCGTTGCGGTATTACGCAAGCTAGGAGCGGGCGGACGAGGAACCTCAACTGTCTCCACGATGCCCTGTTCCTTCGATCGGTGTCCCGTGAACCTCCCGCGTAGCAGCTTCCCAGGTAGCTTTCACAACAATTGGCAGCCCCTCCCATTTTACAACCCAAACACATTCGGAGGGAGGAGGGAGGAGGAGGAGGAGGAGGAGGAGGAGGAGGAGGAGGAGGAGGAGAAGGAGAAGAGGAGGAGGAGGAGGAGGAGGAGGAGGAGGAGGAGGGAGGAGGGAGGAGGGAGGAGGGAGGAGGGCCCGCGCTGGAGGCCTGGTGCCAGCTCGGGACGCAGCCGAGGCCGCCGGTGGCCGGGCTGCACGCTGCCAACGGCCACCAGCAGCCAGCGGCAGCCCGCCCGGCCGGGGCCCCAGCTCGATCGGGGTCCCTTCTCGGTCGCGCCGCCCTGCGCACCTCTCGGTGCAACGCGAGGGGGGGGGGGGGGGATATTCGGGGCCAGCAGCATGCCCACGATAGCACGTTGTGTTTGTCCACCGCTCAGAAGGCAAATGGCAGTCCAAACGCAGACATCTATTTATTTATTTCTATATATATGTATGTATACATATAGGCTTTCCAGCCTCTGGATGCCTTCCAGCGGCTGCGCCTTGCCGAGAGCGTTCCAGGGGCGCCCAGATCATCCCGAACGGCCGCCGGAGACCCGAGTCGGGCCGAACGACAGCGGGGGAACAGGGCAAGGGGGGGTACGAAATCTGCTGCACGCAGCTGGTTTCGGCCCCGCCGCCGGGCCCATCCCTCGATACATGGCCGCTTCCGGCGCCGGGAGGCGCCAGGAAAATCAGCTACACACTGTTCGTGTCTAATTCTTCGAAAATTCTTTGATTTTTTTGGGGCCAAGATCCTTTCATCTCTACTTGTTCTGTCCTGGGCCTCTTCCTGGCCACTAGGGGGCCAGGAAGAATTGGAAACGAACACAATTAGAAATGAGCACGATTAGAAATGAACGACGTGTACGTGAGCTGATTCTCAAGCCCCCTCTTTGCTATCCCCCTGTCGCCCAGACCGGCCGAGCTGGCGGCGGCTCGCCGAGGGGGGAAATGAGATGCGTCGGCCCTTCTCAGAGGATGCCGCAGGGCTTCTCCCAGGCCGTCCGGCCTTCTGAAGCAGTGTCGAAGCGTCCTGGCGTGCCTATAGTCCTACCAAACAACGTTCTAAGAACCTTTTGTGGTTCCCACGGAATGTTCTTAGAACATTTCTGGCGGAGTCTGTCTTATTTTATCACCTCGGGTTTATTCGGGTATAGCCAGGACCACAGGTAAGGGGACCCAGTTAGTGGTAGGGCCCCGGAGCCTTTGAATCGGCCAGAATCACTAAACCAGGTCTGCCGCAGCTGGTGTTTTTTCGGGTGACGGCAGTTCCGGTTAGTGGAACGGGGCCGGGGGGCGTCCCCCAGTACACATCACTAAACCAGGTTCCACTAAACCCAGTTCTGCCAACGCCCGATTTATGTTCTAAGAACATTGTTTTGTTAATTGTGTCTTTGGGGATGTTCGGAGGGGCGAAAACACACATACACAAGTAATCGTCGATCCCCAAGAAAGTATGGAAAAGTATTGGAAGTGGGGGGAAGACAAAAACCCAGGAATGATTGGAACATATGGGGAATCCGGGTATTTGTGTGTATTTGTTTGCGTGTCCCAGGGTCCCTTCAGGATGGTCTCGAAAGTTTTCAGGACGGCGAGATGCCTTTGAGCCTTCTGAGAAGGCCCGCCCCCTCTGCCTTCCCCCCCCCTCGGTGCGCCGCCGAGTAGAAGTGATCGCGCTGCGCGCTGCGTGGTCTGAGCCAGCGCAGCTGCCTCTCGCCAAGGGGGCGGCGCCAGAACGCGACGGCAGTCGCGGGGCGCGATGCACGAAGTCTGGAGGGTCAGACAAATCACGACCAGAGGCTCTCGGCCAGTTTCGGCCTCAAGGGGTCCCCATGGGCCCCGCAGGCCGTTCACAAAACGATCCTGGGAAAAGGGCTCAGACCTCCCCCGGGAGCCAGCCGAGATTTTTGCAATACGGGGCCCCCACAGGTCACGACACTTTCCCCAGGGCCCGTCAACAAGAGCAGTTTTTTGACGGTCCCGAGGCCCGGAGGCCGAAATTGGCCGAAAACCGCCAGTGCTGTTTTTTTCACGACGCAAACATATTTTGGAGGGGATTCCCCTCCGTTCAGCCGCGCCTGCGTCCCCTGCAACGAGGCCCAGCTCCGGGGAGCTCCAGTTGGCCATGTGTGGCTGCAGTACCACGTCCCTGAACCGCATGAGCGCGGTCGGGAAGTGGATCCGCCACTGGCCTGGGGGCTACAGGGCTTTCCCCAAGAAGGAATTGGATGGGGTCCCCGATATCCGAGGAATGCTTCTCAATCCCAGCCCTCTTGCCTCGATTTCGGCCTAGGTCTCGGGACCATCAAACCATTTTTCAGGACGCAACACGTTCCTCGGGAAAGGCGTTGGGAGTTCAGGGGGCGCGGATTGAGAAACACATGTCGGAGGATCTCTAGGATTGCGCCTGTCGCAAATCGAGTAACATAAACAGCAGCAGCGGCAACAACAACAACAACCACACCAGCCACAACAACACCAAATACAACAACAACAACAACAACAACACCAACAACAACAACAACACCAACAACAACAACAACAACAATTACTACAGCAGCAGCAGCAGCAACACCAACAATAGCAACACTCACAACAACAACTGCAACAGCAGCAACAACACCACCAACACCCAACAACATCAACAACAACAGCAACAACAGCAACAACAGCAACAACTTGGCCATGCACTCGGCTTACGTTTGAGCCAGAATGCTGAGCGAAGGCTGGTGCCTATACGGGACAGGCGAAGGTCGTAGATGAGTACCTCCAACGCTCTACCGTCTAGGATGAGCCGAGATCACGACGCACTCGATGTGATTGCCCCCAGCCAGAGGAGGACGGAAGGATTGGGTCGGAATAACGGGGAGGAGAGGGAACGGAGGGGTCACCGAAACAGCTGCAAGCAGCTTGTTTCGGCTCGCCGCTGGGCGCCTCCCTCGACACATTGGCGCCCGGAACGCGAACTGCTGAATGAGCTGATTCGCTATAGAAACCCTCCCCCCAGTTCCGCCTCTACCCTCCATTTGCTATCCCCCCCAGCTCGACCGCCCCGAGAGGTGGGGCAGGAGGAGGAGGAGGAGGAGGAGGAGGAGGAGGGGGAAGAGCACAACGTGGTGCCGCCCCAGCGCGCAATTTTAATCCGGCCAGGGCGTTCCAGCGGCCCATGCCGACAACGCCATGCGGACCCGTGTGCGTCGTGCATCCTCCCCCAAACCCACCGTGAATGCAAAGCCATGTGCGCCCCCCCCCTCCCTTCCGCCCCCCCAGTTGAGCGCATAACTGAGCCCAAGCCCTTCGTGGACGTTCGACGCGGTCAGCTTCACATCTTGGGATGGGGGAGGGGCGGGAGATGGTCGCGGTGAATCGGATCCCAAACGAATCTTATGGTCAATTTGGTATGCTCTGGATGGCTTATTAATTAGTTTGTGTCATGTTATCGTGGCGCGCGTGTTCGGTTTTGTTGCGGGGTGTTATTTGCGATGCCGCAGCGTCTTTCTGGCCCTGGCTCAGTTGGGCCCTGTGGTTGCGAGAGCCATGTTGGCGTGACTCAGCGGTGCAATTGGGGATGCATCTTGGAGTTGCACTAATGGCCATTGGGGTACCCAGTGGGCTACCCTGGAAGCCATAGGCGAACAATGCGCGCGTGGAACGAAAGCCCCATCGGAACCGGGCAAGCTACCAGGATTCGGTTGCAGGGGGTATTAGGCTCAATGTCCCAGGAGTTATTGGCCCTTAACTCCACGACTGTTTTCTCTGAGTCGGACCCGAACCAAGGGCGCGACCCCGCCGCGAAATTGGGGGCCAGGGACATGTTCCGAGCCAAGGGCGCCCTAGCGAGAGCATGAAAAAGGACGCGTTGACTGAGAGTTCACTTCGACATCCTGCGTTGCAGCGTACGTGTTCGCACGAGAACAGCGGAACTCGAACATTGCGTTCGTTGCCGTCCTCCCCGGGCGGGGTTAGTCGGACGCATCCCATATCGAGCACGGGCGCCCCCCCACCGCATGCATCCCCGAGCTGGGCCCCGGGCCCCAGATGCTTGGTCCGGTCGGAAGTCCCACAGCGTCGGGGATTGGTGTCGCCATGCCCCCCCGTGAATGCGAGCCCACGGCGCGCGGCCCGCCCGAAAGATACAGGGCCTGCGGGCCTCTGGAGCCTCGGCGGCGCCCCAGCCGTGGCTCCCGCCTTCCAGGACGCCAATGGGGGGGGAGGAGGGAGGGAGGGAGGGAGGGAGGGAGGGAGGGAGGGAGGGAGAAGAAGGAGGAGAAGGAGGAGAAGGAGGAGGAGGAGAGGAGGAGAGGAGGGGGAGGGAGGAGGGGGAGGAGGAGAGGAGGGGGAGGAGGAGGAGGAGGAGGAGGAGAGGAGGAGGAGGAAGAGGAGGATGAGGAGGAGGAGAAGCAGGAGGAGGAGTCGCCCGGCTCTTAGTTTGATCAACACCACAGGGCCTACCAGCCCTGGGGGGCCCCGTTGAAAGACAACCGTCTGATAATCCTCAAGCATGCCAGAACGCCGTTCAACGTGACTGCTGCGCCCTGGCAGTGTTAATCCGTGCCAGAACACCGAACACCGTTTCTGGGACTGCAACACCGCGAGTCAGCGTGACTTTTGCGTCCTGAGAATCCTACATCGCGTCAGAGCGTACTCTGCGAATCCTAGAAGTGCTGCAAACGCTTGAGACGAATATGCGCGCGGCGCTAAAGCGAGAGCCGAATTGTGAACAGGAACCGCCCTCCATCCTTGAAGGTGCTGCACTTGTTTTTATGACGAGTGCGCCGAGTGCGCGCGGCTCTAAAGAGTGAAACGGTTGCAGCCTTTGAGACTATATAATGCGCGCGGCGCGAGGGCGAGGGACACATGTTCATAAGGAATCGCCCTCCGTCCTTGACGCTGTTGTAAGCGTTGAAGACGAACGTCCGCGGCGCTGAGTCGAGTGCCACACTTCGAAAATGGCCCAGCCTCCATCCCTGAAGCGGCGAGAGACCACTCATCTTTGGAAGTGTTGCATATTGTTTCAGGCGAGCGTGAGCACATGTTGGAAAGGACCCGCCCTGCATCCGTGAAATCGTTGCAAGGTTCAGGCTGAAGGGCCAGAAGTGGTGAGGAAGTCTCAGGCGAAACTCCCAGCCCGCCCTACTGACACGTCGGGGGATGCGACAGGGCTGAGATATCTATGAAGCAAGCGGGTGGAGGAGCAGGAGCAGGAGGAGGATTATCATGCCCTTCTTGGTTCAGAGTCTAGGGAGACGCACGC